CTAAACTTAAACATAGAAATAGAAATAGAATAGAATAGAAATAGAATCCTAGAAGGAAGGGACCTCAGAGGTCTTCTAGTCCAACCCCGCACTCCAGGCAGGAGCCTTCTCCCAGTCAAATGGTTGTGCAGTGTAACTTGGTTAATTTAAACCAGAGAGAGGGTGTTAGTTTGTTGTGTTAATCCAACTTTGTTAGTTTAGGATTTGCTGCACAGTGTGAAGCCAGCAAATGACCTATTTCAATAACAAGGTCAACGGTGTTATGGGAGCTTAATCAAACCACAGGTAGTCCTCGACTTACAACAGTTCCTTTAGTGACCATTAAAAGTTACAATGGCACTGAAAAAAGTGACTTATGACCATTTTTCACACTTATGACCGTTGCAGCATCCCCATGGACACGCAATCAAAATTCAGACACTTGGCAACTGATCCATATTTATGACGGTTGGGGTCACGTGACCCACTTTTGTGACCTTCTGATGAGCAAAGTCAATGGGGAGGTCAGATTCACTTAACAACGGTGTTACTAACTTAACAACTGCAGTGATTCACTTACTAACTATGGCAAGAAAGCGGATAAAATGGGGAAAAATTCACTTAACAAATGTCTCACTTAGCAACAGAATTTTGGGGCTCAATTGTGGTCGTAAGCTGAGGACTACCTGTATAAGCAGGGGACTTTCCATGATGGTTCTCTGCCTATCAGCCCTTCCGTTTGACCCCACCTGAAGCTGGGGGTCGAGACCTCCGCTGAGGCCAGGGTGATGTGAGCGGGTGGCTGGTCAGCCAAGGGGATCGTGATGGGGTGATGCAGCCCTCTCTTCTGTCCACAGAGAAGGCCCCATATTCGGATATCATGCAAGAGGCCGAAGTGTCGCTGGTCTCCAGGGATACCTGCAACAGCTCCGAACAGTATGCCACCCTCATCAGGGAGGAGCACCTCTGTGCCATCTCGGAGGATCCCACCAAGGGCAGCTGCCGGGTGAGTTGCCAAGAGCAGAGATCTCCCTCCATCGGGTCTGGTCTTCAGAGACTCTCTCCTGGCCTTCTCCAAGGTTCGAGAGGCGTTGCAGAGAGAACCACAGGTAGTCCGCGTTTAAGGGCTGCTTGTTCAGCGATCATTAGAAGTTACGGTGGCGCTGAACGAGGACACTTTTCCAAAGATGCTTTTACCAAAAAGGCAACTAGACTTGGGTTTTTTGTTGGAAAACTTTTCACTTCTCATCTAAGAAGCTTCTTCAGTTCTAACTTCAGTTCTTAGTTCTTCACCTAGAACTGAAGAAGCTTCTTGGATGAGAAGCAAAACATTTTCAAATAAAAACCAAAGAAGTTCAGTTGCCTTTTGGGGAAAAAAAAAAGCATCTTTGGGACAACCATGACCTGGGGGTGGAGACAACAAGGGGACTTATGACTGGTCCTCATAGCTGCGGCCATCATAGCGTCCCTGGGATCATGTGATCACAATTCAGGTGCTTGGCAATTGACTCCCAATTATGACACCTGTGGGATCCCATGGTCATAGGACCCCTATTTGCAAACTTCATTGTCAACAACAAAGTTAAGAGGAAGACGGTAGGAGGCCACAAATGGGTAATCACAACGAAGCAGCCAATGTAGCCCTCCCTGCTAACTCCATCAACTTTGGCAGCCCTTCGTCCATTGTTTATAAGCATTTCTAAAGCGGTATAAAAGTGATTGCTGAGACTCTAGCCTTGTGCTGTTGCGTGCACATGGGTGATTCTATACCACTGGGTGATGTGCCATGTCCCGTCGGAGCCTGAATTGGCAGAGGAAGATGAGCCGGAACTGAAGCGTACAGAGATTGAGGGGGCGGCTTCATTGGCTTGGGAGGAAAATGGGGAGAAGCAGGGCCAGTCTGGCGAGGGCCTTTCAGGATTGGGATGGCTTGTAGGCAGGGAGTGATGGGGAAGGATAACCAAGAGAGGCTAAGTGAACATGAGAGCAGAGCTCAAGCGATGAGCAAGGACCGCCCACTCCTGATCCTCAAGCATGGAGAGTGGAGAGAAGGCGAGAACAGCGCAGGCTGACCCAGCTACTGAGGAGGAGAGTGCCCCGCCCCTCTTCACAAGGCATACCTGGGGATTGAGCCTTAAGAAGACACTGTGGGGAGGGGCATTTGTGGGGAAGAAACACTGAATTCCTGGAGTGTTGAATGCCAACCTTTAAACTTCCCAAGAGTCCTTCCATTCTTTTTGGATTTCTTGATTTGCAGTTGCACTGCTCACAGTGTTGGGCTGGACTATATGCAGCCAGAGGCTGCTTGAGGTGTGTGTGTGTGTGATCACTTTGCTCTGGGACTTGCCAGAAACGTGGGAGCATTTGGGGAAATTTGGAACAATTTTGAACTGCCAGCTGCCTGTGTTCTCTCTGTGCCGTGCCCCGGTCATCACACGATGTGTCTTCTTCCTCTTTCCTGCAGGGCGATGGTGGTGGGCCCCTGATGTGCAGGGAATCCCATACCGAGCGCTACTGGCTGATCGGTCTCAACAGCTGGGGCACCGGCTGCTCCAGTGGCAGAGTGCCGGGAGTCTTCACCTCCACCCAGTTCTTCCTCACCTGGATCAAAGACATCATGGCGAACCCCCCTGCCTCTGGTCTTTCTCCTCCATTCAGACCAACCACCCCACGCACCCCCACTCCTCCACCCCCAAGCCGGTTCACGGGAGCGTATTACCTCAACCCCATTTACAAAAAGGTCAACGGGAGGCTAGTCGGGTACTTCCCCGCAGCCAACACGTACAGCCTTCCAACACGCACAGCGGCAGTGGGGTGTCAAACTCACCACCAGGCCCAGGTACACAGGACCCCCCAAGAAATTTACACCCTTCACCTTCTTTCCGATGACACCCCAGTGGGCCACTCCCACTACCGCCTTCCTAGGCTGGGGCATGGGACCTAGTATAATTTATAGGATGCCCCGGAAAAGGTTCACAGCTGCTCCTTACACCACGCAATTTCGCTGGCCTAGGCCTCATTACTGGAACAGGCCCAAACTTTAAGGAAACCAGGGACTTCCATCCCATCATGGCCCAGATGAAGCATCCGTGACCAGCATCCTTCTGGTGTAATCCCTACCACCCAGCTCCTGAACTTTTGACAACCTGCGTCCTGTTTTTCATTCGCCCCATATTTTATCATTTATCAGATTTCTGTAGCCACTTTTATAAATGCGCCATTGGAAACAGAGTTGGCACCTAGCTCCTGCCCCAAGCTCCAACGCCAGCCAAATTTCGGAAGGCTTAGGAACATGGTTGCCAACTTTCTTCATGAGCCCAGAGAAGATCTTCAGGCAACCTTAGGGCGCAAATGGCTGGTTTCATGGCGCAGGAGCCAATGTCCTGGCAAACATCTACCCAGCCTGTACTCCCATTTCTGGAAGGAGAAAGAGCTTCACCAGAGCCCCCCTGGCTTCACACCATCACCTTGGTTAGCTGAGACCCAATGAATTCTGGCAGATGTCCTCCTGTAAAAACACACCCAAAATAAAGTGTTTCCTTCCAGAAAATGTCTCTTATTTATTTCGTGGCAGGAACGCTAAGATGCTTCACCAGGCAGAGGCAACACCTATCATTGTGCTGGTATTGAAGAGCAGTAGTTGATCCTGGCCAGAGATTGGAGAAATCTACTGAGAAAGGAAATCAGAAGAATATTTGCATACAGTGATTTTTTGGCAGAAGAGCCTATATTTAAAAAATGGTTTTGAAAGAAGGGCCAGTTATGAATACTGTTTAAAGTTTGGAGAAATGCCGGCCAAGGCCCTGCTTTCTTGGTGTGGTAGGTCAGTGTTTCTCAACCATGTCAATTTGAAGATGTGTGGACTTCAACTCCCAGAATTCCCCAGCCAGCCAACACTGAAGCCATATTTATGACTGGAGAATTCTGGGAGTTGAAGTCCACGCACCTTCAAGTTGCCAAGGTTGAGAAGTTGTCAGGTTGACTGTGGAATTCTCCTTCCTTCCTTCCTTCCTTCCTTCCTTCCTTCCTTCCTTCCTTCCTTCCTTCCTTCCTTCCTTCCTTCCTTCCTGAAGAGTGAAGTTCCCTTAGGATGGGTTCTAGCATGAGTCCAAGAGCTCGGAAGAGTAAACTTCTGGTCCCAGTGACAGATCCAGATTGGATCCTGTAATATTATCCTAGGACACCTATATTTGCCTTCATTCATCCCTCCTCCGTTTCTGTCCTGCTGCCCACAGAGGGAGGACCACGAATGATGGGTGCTTCTCAGGGAACCTCCCAAAATGCAGGCCAGATCGTGGCTAGCTACTCCTCCAATGACGCGGCTTTGTCTCCACCACCATCTGGGCCAGATGTTCCAAGGCTTTTGGAAGGAGACCAATGCTTGCTTGCAGCTGGCACATTCCGTGTGAGGTCATACTGCCTGAGTGCTGATTGGCTGCAATCGGGCTGGGGGCGCTTGTGACGTCACGGCCGGTGGGAGAATGCGGCAATCAGAGGAGCCTCTGGAGCCATCAAGAGGATGAGATGCATTCTCCTCCCACTCCAGATTCTGGCTGCCGTCTGGCCCACTCACACCATAGTTGATACTTGCGAGTAAGTAAGAGGGAAGAAGGGGAAAGGAGGGATGGGCCCGATCCAGAAAGGGTTCCAAGAGGCAGCCCTTGGAATGAGGCATCCAAGCAGACCAGTACTCGGGAGAAGAAAGGAGGACATGCGGGTGAGGGGCCAAGCACCATCTTGGCTAGCACGGTTAGGGTTATAGAGCCGTGGTGGCGCAGTGGTTAGAATGCAGTATTGCAGGCTAATTCTGCTGAGTGTCGGCTGCCTGCAGCCAGTAGTTCGATCCTGATCGGCTCAAGGTTGGTTTAGGCTTCCATCCTTCCTAGGTTGGTAAAACAAGGAGCCAGATTGTTGGCGGCAATTATGCCGACTCTGTAAACCTATAAGAGAGGACTGTAAAGCACTGTGAAGCAGTATATAAGGAAGGAAGGAAGGAAGGAGGAAGGAAGGAAGGAAGGAAGGAAGGAAGGAAGGAAGGAAGGAAGGAAGGAAGGAAGGAAGGAAGGCCGTGGTGGCGCAGTGGTTAGAATGTAGCATTGCAGGCTAATTCTGCTTACTGCCAGGAGTTCAATCCTGACCAATTTAAGGTTGACTCAGCCTTCCATCCTTCCAACGCTGGTAAAATGAGGACCCAGATTATTAGGGGCAAGAGGTTGATTCTGTAAACCGCTTAGAGAGGGCTGTGAAGCACTGTGAACAGGAAGCAATGCTTGTTTCTCCATCCAGTGATTGCGGAAGACACCCCTTAGTGCTCAGACATGGGCAAAGTGAGCAGGTGGTGGGCGGAGCCGATGTCCAGCCTGGGGCGTGGCCTTGGGTCGTCAGTTTGCAGCTCCCCACGATAACAGGACACAAGCACAGCTGCGGAGGCTCCCTCGTTTCTGGCCGGTGGATTCTCACTGCGGCCCACTGCTTCTCAAACAAAAGGTGAGTCCTTTGCCATGCGGTGGCACCAAGCGTCAGAAGGGGAAGGGCCTCTCAGAGGGATGGGCTTCATACGGAGTCCAAGGGGAGAGGAAGATTAAGGGACCGAAGGCCAAGACCTAGGAAGAACGGTTGCAGGAACTGGGGGTGTCTAGTTTAATGAAGAGAAGCACTAGGGGTGACGGGATAGCGATCTTCTAATAGTTGAGGGGCTGCCCCAAAGGAGAGGATGTCAACTGACGAAGATGGAAAGGTGGGATCCTACCTTTGTCCATTAACCACCTTCAGAATGACATGTCCCTGTGGGGCCTGGGCCAGGTGCCAGAGTTGGGTCTTCAGACCTTTTCGGAAAATCAAAACGGTGGGGATGTGGATTCTTACGTGAGTGAGTGGCCCAAAGGAAATAGTCTTCAAGGGAAAACAAGAAAGCCCAGTTGCCTTGACAAAAAAAAAAACCAAAAAGCACCTCTGGGACCCAGCTGTTGAGGTGTCAGAAAGGGCTGACCCTCCGTCTCTCCCCAGGGACCTCCCTCACTGGCGTGCGGTGATTGGCGCATGGAGGCTTTCTTCACTCGGCTCCGAGGTCCACGTGCGCTACATCAAGCGGATAGTCATCCATGAGGAGTACCAGAGGAGCACGGAGACCAGTGACATCGCTCTGATGGAGCTGGACCAGCCGGTGAAATGCAGCGACTACATCCAGCCGGCTTGCTTGCCTGACATGACTGTCACCGTCTCTCTCCTGAACCACTGCTACATCAGCGGCTGGGGCATCCTAGGAAAAGCTGGTGAGAACCCCTCCTCTGTGCCACCCGGGCTCGGCCACCTCCCCGCGCCTTAGAAGCCCAACCCCAGGAAGGGTCGTCCTTCGCTCTCCACCAAAGGGAGACTGAAAACGGCCGCGTCCTTCACCGGGTGCCCTTGGCAGCTTCTCTGTTCCTTCACGTGTGGCATTTTCCTGCTGGGTGTTGAGGGTGTGGCTGGGTGGGATTGAAGCGCCATTCTGTGATACTACTGGGGGTGAAGAAGTTTGTGGAATCTGGAGCTCTTTTAGAAGTTCAGAGTGAGTGTGGTCTGCACTCACAACGTGGCTGCTAGGGGAGACTTCCTGGTTCCCCTAAATAGCTGTGACAGTGAGCATGGACGGAAGGCACACTCAGCCAATCACTCTCTCTCCCTCTCTCTCTCTCTCTCTCTCACACACACACACACACTTCTTCCCTGATGCTTTGTACATCCTAGTGTACCTTTTGCTTTTACCTGAAGCAAAAATTATTTGCATTCCTGCAAATAATTTCTTTGCAGTTTGCCAGCTTCTGATGCATCATCATCATCATCATCATCATCATCATCATCTGCTTGGAACCATTTTGGGTTTTGCCTCTTCTTTCCCTTCTTCTCTCCTTCTCTCATCTTCTTCCCTCCCCTTCTCTCTCTTCTCTCCTCGCCAAAAAAACTTGATGTTTTCTTATCTTTTCATTGTCTTCTTCTCTTGTTTTCCTCTCCTCTTTTCCTCTCCTTTCTTTCTCTTCTCCCCCCTCCCGGCCTCAAGGAGGCTCCCCCTCCTTCAAGGCCACTTAGGACAGCCTGGGAGATGCTGGCCCTTAAATCTCTCGAGGGTCACCGGCACCAAGACCCTGCTGCTCTCACCCAGGAAGGCCCTTGGCTGAAAGCCCCTCCGGGAGGAAGGGGAAAGTGGGGCTGCATCTGCTAAGCATCTGCCTTCCATTTCAGCAGCCAGGGAGGTGTCCGACATCATGCACGAAGTGAAGGTCAACCGCTTCTCTGTGGCTCAGTGCAACAGCAGCGGCTGGTACAATGGGGCCATTGAGGAACACACTCTCTGTGCAGGTTACGAGGAAGGAGGAGCAGATATCTGCCAGGTAAAGACCCCCGGGGGACTCCCTCTGGGGCCCAAAATGATGCCTGGGAATACATTGCATCCCTTTTCCTTACACGGTCCTTCTGGGCCCAACGTTCAGTCCTGGAAGGCTGTGGGGCCATCACAGTTGAAACCCCAATATGGGGCACCAGGTTGAAGAAGGCACAAGGTCTTCCTATAGCAAGAGTCAACCAACTTTACGTATCTACGGAGATTCTCCATCATCCAGTCACAGTCCCAAGGTGCTTTTCTAAAAGGCAACTGGACATTCTTGGTTTGTTTGTTTTTTCTTTGGAAAATGTTTTGCTTCTCATCCAAGAAGCTTCTTCCGTTCTGGAGAAGTTCTTCATTCTGGAGAACTGAAGAAGCTTCTTGGAGGAGACGTGAAACCCCTAAGAAAGTCCAAATGCTTTTGGTCCTAGACCGGAAGCTTGTAAAAAGAGATTGGACAGCCACTTGTCTGGAATGGTATAGGGGCTCTTTCTTGAGCAGAGGGTTGGACTAGAAGACCTCTAAGGCCCTTCCAACTCTGTTATTCTGAACTAATGGACAACACCTGCGAGGACTTAGACAACGGTCAATGGAATTCAAGGGGGAGGTTGCACTTGATTTGCCTGTGGCTATGTATTGGTTCTAGGCTAATCTATCTTTTAACCCCACCGCTGGGTTCTGCCATACCTTCCCCTACATTGTCCTTCTACATACACTTGTGTGCATTTCCCAAATTTTTCTATGCACCTTTCCCGCTCTACACGTTGTGTCCTCTTTCTCTTAATTTACACATCTAATGAGGGTTTTTTTTGTTTTGTTTTGTTTTTGCATTGGCCTCCTGGTTTGCATTTTTAGAACTGGGAACTGCAAAAGCAAATTTTAGAGAGATCCGTATGTCAGCATGTAGCAATAGCAGTTTACAGAGTCAGCCTCTTGCCTCCTACAATTTGGGTCCTCATTGTGCCCACCTCGGAAGGATGGAAGGCTGAGTCAACCTTGAGCCCAGTGAGATTTGAACTGCCAAACGTCTGGCAGCCGGCAGTCAGCAGAAGTAGCCTGCAGTACTGCACTCTAACCACTGCGCCACCATGGCTCTTGTAGCCCTACTCCAGCTTGTCCTATTGGTTTCTGGAGTATAAACTGAGGCAGGACCAGGCAGTTCTCGGGGTAGGTAGCATCCTTAGGTCAACGGTGAATGGGATGGCTGTCTCGATTCTGCCAGGGCTGGCATTGGGAGGGGCAGACATCCCCGCTTTGTGGATGCCAATGGTCTTGCGGAGACTTCCTGACTGGGGTGCTTCAGAATCGGCCATCAGTTCTCGTTTGCCTTCCTTCAGCACTAGGAAAGTTTCCGCATACAGGTAGTCCTCGACTTACAACCACAACCGAGCCCCACATTTATGTCGTTCAGCGAGGCATTTCTTAAGTGAGTTTCGCCCTGTTTTGCAACCTTTCCAGCCACAGTTGGTAAGCGAATCGTGGCAGGAGTTAAGTTAGGAACACGGTTGGTTAAGCGAATCCAGCTTCCCCCGTGGATTTTGCTCGTCAGAAGGTCGCAAAAGGGAATCACCTGACTTCCGGGACACACTGACACCGTTGTGAGTATGAACCAGTTGCCAAGCATCTGAATTTTGATCACGTGATTGGGACCTTGTGATTGATCAAAAGGTCGTGACTGTGGAAAATGGTCATAAGTCACATTTTTCAGTGCCGTTGTAATGTTGAGCAGTCACTGAACAAACTATTGTAAGTCAAGGGCTGCCTGTAAGCATAGACTCCTAGGCCTAGAAGGGAACTTGGAGTCATCTACTCTAATCCCTTGCCCAAGGCAGGAGCCCTTCTACCACCCCAGACAGATGGCTCTCCGCTACAATACGGGGATGCTGCAAACGATCCTGTACCATTCAAAGAACCGTTGTAACTCTGAACGGTCACTAAATGAACTGTTGTAAGTCAAGGACTGCCTGTATTATGAGCTCCCTCTTTCATGTCCACCCAAAGGCTGCCTCTTTTACCTCTTTGGGTGCCTAGGGAGATGGTAATCACCTAACTCTCCACCCGCCATACTCTTCCTCCTTTGGGTGCATCCTTGTTTGGTTTCGAGGCCGAGGCCGACCCTCACTCCTCCTCCTCCCTGTGTTTTGTTCCAGGGAGACAGTGGTGGCCCCCTCATGTGTCAGGAAGATGGCTCTCAACCCTTCTGGATCATTGGACTCACAAGCTGGGGGCAGGGCTGTGGGAAAGCACACAAGCCGGGTGTCTATACTGACACACAACACTTCTACCCGTGGATAAAGCAGTTGGCGGGCCCAATGCCTCAGCCCCCTCCCACGCCCATGCCCATGCCCACAATCAAGGTTCCACTCCAGAGCGAATCAACTCCCCACCCAAGCTCTCCCCCCTCAGCTCCCGAAGCCACCAAAACCCCAACGGAACCCTCAACTCCGTTTCAAACCACTTCTCAAAAACAGCCTTTAGTCTTCTTCTGGCCTCCAACCACTGCACAACCTCTGCTTTGGCCTAACACACAACCTTTGTCCCAGTCCACCTCTGAAGTCCCATCGAAGCCCACAACCCAACCTCATGCCAAATCTCCAAACACATTCCAAATTGAAGTCCTCTTTCAAACAACCCAAGCGCCAACTTCACCTCATGCCAAATCTTCATCTTCTTCTCCAACTCACACAACATCTCAGGTCTTGTCACCTTTGTCTTCCACTCATGCCAAAGTCCTATCTGAATCCACAGTTCAATCCGAGGCCACTCCTCTACTTGAAATTGAAATAATATCTGAGCCCATATCCAAGTCTCCACCTCAGCCTCCAACTCCATCGAAGACTAAAGTCACATCTCTACTTGCATCTATAATTCAATCCGCACTCCAAACATCACCTCAACCTTCATCTCCAACTTCACCTAAGACTGAAACCTCAAGTCAGACAACATCTCACGTCCTGTCATCTTCATTTTCCTCTCATGCCAAAGTCCTATATGAATCCACAGTTCAACCTGAGACCACTCCTCTACTTGAAATTGAGATATCTGAGCCCATATCCAAGTCTCCACCTCAGCTTCCAACTCCACTGAAGACTGAAGTCACACCTATGCTTGCATCTATAATTCAATCCGCACTCCAAACATCACCTCAACCTTCATCTCCAACTTCACCTAAGACTGAAACCTCAAGTCAGACAACATCCCACGTCCTGTCATCTTCATCTTCCTCTCATGCCAAAGTCCTATCTGAATCCACAGTTCAATCCGAGGCCACTCCTGTACTTGAAATTGAAATCATATCTGAGATGGAATCCAAAACTCCACCTCAACCTCCAACTCCACTGAAGACTGAAGGCACATCTCTACTTGCATCTATAATTCAATCCGCACTCCAAACATCACCTCAACCTTCATCTCCAACTTCACCTAAGACTGAAACCTCAAGTCAGACAACATCCCACGTCCTGTCATCTTCATCTTCCTCTCATGCCAAAGTCCTATATGAATCCACAGTTCAACCCGAGGCCACTCCTGTGCTTGAAATTGAAATCATATCTGAGATGGAATCCAAAACTCCACCTCAACCTCCATCTCCATTGAAGACTGAAGGCACATCTCTACTTGCATCTATAATTCAATCCGCACTCCAAACATCACCTCAACCTTCATCTCCAACTTCACCTAAGACTGAAACCTCAAGTCAGACAACATCCCACGTCCTGTCATCTTCATCTTCCTCTCATGCCAAAGTCCTATATGAATCCACAGTTCAACCCGAGGCCACTCCTGTGCTTGAAATTGAAATCATATCTGAGATGGAATCCAAAACTCCACCTCAACCTCCATCTCCATTGAAGACTGAAGGCACATCCGCACCTGTAATTCAATCTACTCTCCACATCACACCTCAACACAAAACCGAACCTCTTCCCGAGCCTGAAATTCCAACAGAGGTTGGCTCCACATCTGAAACTGAATCCCAACCTTCTCCTGGAACAAATCCAGAACCTGAAGCTTCACATCAGTCTATAACCACATCTCAACCTACATCCCAAGCTCCACCTCAACCATCTCCTCAAACAGAGTCTCAACCAGAACTTGAAGCCACAGCTCAGCCTTTGACTATACCTCAAACTACATCGGAAGCCCCGACTCCCTCTGAGACCCAACCTTCCCCTCAAACCACATCAGAACCAGAAACTGACACTCCAGCTCATGTTGTAATTGTAATTCACAGTACATTGGAAGCCCCGACTCACCCCGAGACCCAACCTTCTCCTCAAACCACATCAGAACCAGAACCTGAAACCACGGCTCATGATGTAATTCTACTTCAAAGTACATCAGGAGCCCCAACTCACTCTGAGACCCATCAAACAGAACCCAAACTGGAGCCTGAAACTCCCCTTCTATCCATAACACTCCAATCTGCAACCTCACCGCCCACGTCTCCGTCCTCACCAGAAACGGTGGCTCAACCCGAAACCTCCGGGCAACCTCTCCCCGAAGCTCATCCGAACCCCCAAATCCCCCAGGCCCCATCCCGCCCGATTGCTGAGCGTAAAATCATACCCATCATTGAAATCTCCCATACCGACAACATCGTGCTAAAGTTCTTGAGGGTGATTCAGAAGTTCTTGCACATCATTAGGAAGTTGAAAGACGTCGTGTGGGTCTGGCCCGATTTGTCGAACCTGAAACTCATCAAGGACAGCGATCTGGCTTCTCTCGAGGAGTCGGAAAGCCCACCGGAGGGTGACCTGCCTGGTGAGTCCTGGTGAGCTGGAAGGAGACCCAGCGTGCCTTTGACAGGCAGGTGTGCCACCGAAGTTGAGAACTCTTGGCAATGCCAGCAACATCCTCCGGGGAGCTGTGGCAGCACGCTTATCGAAACCAGAAACGAAAGTTTTGCTCAGGGTTCTGCTAATCTCACGAGTGCTGGGTCTCTGGGGCGATTTTACACAGCTCAGGGTGGTGAGCCGAGCTCCCTCCGTGCCTGGTGCTTCTGAGGCAGCAGTGTGGTGACCACAGGCAGGGCGAGACCTGCAGGCTGCACAAAAATGGATTAAGAGGCCACTGCATCTAATCTTTCCCTGGGACCTCAGCACCGTCTGGAGAAGGCAAGGTTGCGTTGGGTTGCGTAACTATTTTGTTGTGCACACAAGCAACCCTTAATATGAAGATCAGCTTCTACAAAGGCTAAGAATCGGAATCTATATCCCTGTAAGTTTAAATCCTGTCCCCGTCTCCCCCCGATTTTCTTTGTAACAGATGTTTGGCAATGTGTTTTATTGTTTACAAAATGTAAATATCAAAATGTGTTTACAAAATGTACCCGTTCTGGTCCCAGGCTCTTCATTTTCCCCTTTTGCCCCCCTGTATGCCTCTAAACCCATCTTTCCTAACCGAAGAACTTCTGTTTGTCAAGTCGGCTGTAAAAGTTGTTCAATTCTGCACACTTGATCAGTGGCTGTTGGGTCCCTGTTGCACGTGTAAAACTCCGGACACGTTTAGGCCGCCCAACAGCAGTGCAGCGTCATGAAGGTGTCCTCACCTTGACTCTGTAGGGACTTAAAAGTGACCTGTCTGATGGCTCTGCTGTGATGGGACGTCCCACGCATCTTGTACAACTTCCCAGCTCAGCTCTCTGAAGCATGGAAGGATCAGTCGAGGGGGCCACACAGAGTTGGCCCAGTCCGCTGCTGTCCCTTCCACTGTTCCACCTGGCCATGAGCAACCATCTGAAGACCAATGAAGGGCATTGAAGAGTTGGCAGGTGCTTGTGCATCCAGCATCCACAGCCAAATATAGTTGGGAGGTGCAATCTGCCCCGTGGCCAACCCCACAGCTGGCACCTTTCCTTGCACTACAACATGCCTACTGTCAGTCTGTTCATCGGTAGCGGTGCCATCTTCAGATCCAGCAGTTTTACCCTTGCCAAGCGCCCATTCTTTCACTTGGGTCGACTCAGCCAAACTTGCCTTTGGGTGAAGATTGGAGGTGGATCTTCTCTACTTCAGATCTTCACCCAAAGGTAGACTTGGTCAGCTTGACCGAAGGGCAAAACTGCTGGATCTGGAGCACAGCTACTGATGATCGGAGTGTCAGGAAGCATCAACCTTCGCCACTTCCGAGGCCAGCTGTTGTTTGGGGTGGGGGTGCCGCCTTTTCAATAAAGACCACCTACCCATGCTAGTTACTGTTGGGGGTCCTTTACTTCACAATGTCCCCCATTCCTGAAAAGGTGAAGGGTCCTTTGCTCAGGTGAGTCCTGCTAGGCTCAGGAATTTCCTAATGATCAGCTATCACAAATCAAAACTGCGTCATGGCGGCCCTTTTAGCTCATTACGGCTGACCATGAAGTCTTTCTCCACCTAACGGTCAGTCTCTGTGAAACCCAGAGAACCGGGGAGGGGCCATTTGAGGAAAAGAAGACCATGTCAGAATTCCTAGAGGAGGCTTGCTTTAAAAACAGCAGGGGTCTCCAACCTTGGCAACAAGCAAAGAGTTGAAGTCCACCAATCTTAAAGTTGCCAAGGTTGGAAGACCCCTGTTTTACAGGACCTCTCTAGGACTTTGCCTCGGGACCTAACTTTATGGTAAGTACAACTCAACCAACGATTGTGGGAAGCAGCCTTGGAGAGCGATCCCAATGAACCCTCCATGACCGAATCATGTGAGCAAATGGATCCGATGGGACATGTTGTCCCAACGTTGATGAAATACAGGTAGTCCTCGACTTACGACAGTTCATTTAGTGACCGTTCAAAGTTACAATGACCCAGGAAAAAAGTTTTTCACACTTACGACCACTGTGGCATCCCTGTGGTCACGTGATCAAAATTCGGACGCTTGGCAACTGGTTCGTATTTATGACGGTCGCAGTGTCCCTGGGATCTTGTGATCCCCTTTTGCGACCTCCTGACAAAGTCAGTGGGGGAGGCCAGATTCACTTACCAACCATGTTACTAACGTAACAACTGCAGTGATTCACTTAACAACCGTGGCAAGAAAGGTCGTAAAATGGGGCAAAATTCGCTTAACAAATTTTCCGCTTAGCAACATAAATTTTGGGCTCCGTGTTAGTCGTAGGCCGAGGACTACCTGTATTCAAAGAGTTTCGGATACCTATTCCTCACCTGTTGTGGAGATGAGCCTTTCTTGGCATCATCTAGTCTGGAAAAGGTGCCGGAGGGGGGTGGGGGTGGGGTGGGGGCATGAGACAATTTCCATTTTCGGAGGGGATCAGAATCTCCGTAAAGACATCACACTGGACCGTGATGGTTTCACACAACCTTCCTAGACTGAGGGGCCTGCTGTGCTTGTGTTCCTCCAGGAGTTGTGCTGCAGAAGACGCAACCCAGTGCAGGCCGCCTGAGTTCCTTCCCTTTCTCAGGGTGCAACACAACCAGAGGTTGCCCCTTTGCTTTCTCAGAGAAGCTACCAGGCTTGGTTTCCAGACTTCCAAAATTTATTTCTCCAGGTGGAATCTTTGCAACAACAACAACAACAACAGAGACTAAGGGTCCTTCTAGAAGTGCAACGGGGGCCTTGTTGAGCCTCGAGGTCTCTACCAGAGCCGGCAGCCCCTCCTCTCTGGGCTAGGAAGCCTGGTCCGCCCTCCGCCTCCTCCCAGGGCAGCAGAGCTGACCTCCATCTGCTGGCCTTCTCGGAGGTCCCTGGCGGCCTCCGCTGAGCAGGGAGGGCTGCCCACGGTCTCCGTGCAGGTGTGGGCAGCCCACGGTTACTCGTTCCCGGGGCTCAGGTGGACCGGGGAAGTCTCCCCTTGACTGGCCTCCTCTGCGGGGGAGTCCTCCTCCTTCGCCTCTAGCTCAAAATTCTACAAGGAAACGAGAAAGAAGATCCAAACAGATGCTCCACGCCTGGGCTCTTCTAGGGCAGCGGCCTGCAATTACCACCTCTGCAGCCACATGGCAAAGGGTCATGGCAACAGAAGGCTTCCAGATGGACAGAAGGGAGGGAGGGAGGGAGGAAGGAAGGAAAGAAGAAAAGAAAGGAGGGAAGGAAAGAAAGAGGAAGAGAAGCAGGAAAATGAGCCAAGGTGGTGCAGTGGTTAGGGTGCAGTACTGCAGCTACTTCAGCTGACTGCTAGTTCAGATCAGCGGATCAAATCTCACTGGCTCAAGGTTGACTCAGCCTTCCATCCTTCCGAGGTGGGTAAAATGAGGACCCAGATTCTTGGGGGCAATATGCTATTTAGTATACCGTCTTTGGTGTAAGCCGCCCAGAGTCCTCGGAGAGTGGGCGGCATAGAAGTATGATTAATAAAATAAATAAATAAATAAGAAAATGCTGGATAGGGGATTAAGCAAAAAAGATTTGTAACCAATCAATACACTTTCAGTAATTGTAATGGATGATAGTTGTTTTATATTTTAAGTTTTGTTTAAAAAATTTTTTTTTTCAAAAATAAATTTAAAAAAAAGGAGGGAAAGGAGGAGACAGGAAGAGAGGGATGGGGAAGGAGAGGAGAAAAGCAGGCAGGCAGGCAGGAAAGAGGTATGGAGGAAGGAAAGAAAGAGGGAGGGAGATGGGAGGGAAGGGAGGGGTTTCCCCACCTGAGAAAACTTAAGTCGGGGAGAATAAGCCTCATGGCTGCCAGGCACACAAACTACCCACTAACTGCAGCTATGTGCCATCGTGGTTAGCACCAGAAGCCACACCGTGTGCACCCAGAGGCTCCCTGAACAACCATCTCCCTCCAACCTGCCAAAGAGCCAATTCCCGGGGGGGGGGGAGGGAGGCGGGGGGGCAGGAATGTGCCTCCAGCCCCACACAGCCGCCCAAGGCGCTCTCTTACCTCCAGCTCCTTCAGGACTTCATCCATAAAATCCCCCGAGTTCTGCTTGTAGGCCACGGCCAGCTTGATGGCATCGCTGAAGAGCTGCGGAAGAGAACCAGAGGTCAACCAGGGAGACCCCGCTGGGCACCCCTTCCCTGCCCCCCCCCACCATCCCCCCTCGGCCAGGAATCCGAGTCTTCCTCCCCCACCTTCACAACGTTGGTGCCATCTGCTGCAGACACGAAGTAGAGAGGCAGGTTGAGCTTCTTGGGAAAGTTGAAACTTTTCTGCGTGGCCTTCAGGTCGGCTAGAAAAAAGCGAGAGAGAATATTGGGTGACCTCAGAGCCTTTCCAGGAGGGGCCGAAGCCCATTTCACCCAGGAGGGTCCCAGGTGACGCAGCCCAAGACAAGGAAGGATCTACGGGCTTAATTCAGTGACTGAAATAACCCAACTGCCGAGTTTTCAACAAGAAGCACCGAGGAATGAATTGCCCAAACATGGCAGGTTCTTACAGGGTAACAGAGTTGGAAGGGACCTTTGGAGGTCTTCTAGTCCAACCCTCTACTCAGGCAGGAAAACCGCTACCATTTCAACAACTTTGCGACAACTTTGAGTTGGGGAACTGCAGCCCTGTGGGCTGACACCTCCCTTAAGCTCCTCACCAGGGGCATCGCCCCCAGGAGTTCACATTTACAACTTTAAGAAGAGTTGGTATAGAGTTTCCTGCTTGAGCAGGGGGGTTGGACTAGAAGACCTCCAAGGTCCCTTCCAACTTTCTGCTATATTGCATTTTCCAATGGAAAACATCGTTTTCGTTCTAGACCGGTTGGTGCAGCTTTAAGAGGAAGCAGTCTTGGGGCAATGGGTGTTGTGTGGCCTTAAAAGCCTGAAGGCCAGAAGATTTCCCCCTTGCCCAAGAATCAGATCTCCTCCCCCAGTGGACTTCCCAGAGGTGAAAAGGGGAGGAGGCCCACCATCTATTTTGTTGGCCACGACGATACAAGGGATTTGAGGCCGGAATTCACGCAGCTCCTTATACCAGTTGGTCAGGTTCTTGTAGGTGACCTTCCTCTGGACATCAAAGACCTGGAAAGGGCAGGGGGGAGAAGAAGAGGACAGCTGATCGTGAGCTAATCCAAATACAACCAAAATCTCAGATCCTGATGAGACAAAGCTCAGGGTGCAAATAATCCCAGGAAGAAACATCTACTAGACCAGGGGTCTCCAATCTTGGCAACTGTAAGACTTGTGGACTTCAGCTCCCAGAATTCCTCAGCTGGCTGGTTGGAGAAAGGTTAGAGAGCCCTGCACTAGACGTTGTAGGCTTGTTCAACATTTCAACATGCTAGAGTGAGAGACCAGCCAAGATTGGAGAAGGAGTCAGGTGGGGAATTAGTCTGGAATCCTTACGTAGGCAAAAAAGGGCAAGTATCAGATCTGCCACCTCGCTCCCACTTGCCTTAGAGCCAGCCTTCACAGACTCCCGGGGGAGGGAAACTGTTTGGGAGAGGGGAAGGGGGGGAAACTCCAAAGTACTTTATGCCAGCTGGAGACAAGGCTTCAGGGACGCTGGGCCAGAGAGAAAAATACAGCTGCAATTCCGAGGACGACCGTTCCAAAAACATCTGGTTTGAATAGGATTGCGCACAAGAGGAGCAGCAGGAGGGCAGAGGTAGGAAACGGGGGATTTCTCTAGGGAATTGGTGCGGGAACCTCAGAGTTGGCTCTGTTTCACTGTACTTCCACTTGACTGTAGTAAAACTATACCCGACTCTAAAAATGGAGTCATGGATCGTCCTTGCCTTGGGTTCAAGTCGAGGCAGGACTGGCAGCGAGATCCAATCTCCCTTGAATGCCACTGAACCTTTTCTAGTTTGGTCCAGGAGCAGATTACCGGTCTGGGAAGATTCCTGTGAAACAGGCACGAGCAAATGAAGTAGCTAACCGAACCCTTTACACGTGGATTTGGTTACTCGCTCCGAACATCAGCCAAGCAATCTTCTCACTCTCATTGATCAGGACCGAGTGTGGTGGCTCCATGGCTGCAGTGGAGTGGGTGGGAAGAGGGATCGTGGAATGAGCCGGAGAAGATGCTCTTCTGGCTCTGTGGAAGACTCTGTCCCACCAGCACCAGAAAAAAGACAACGGAGCCCTGGAGTCAGAAGGAGGATCTCTATCATTCTGAAGAGACCCCTCCCTCAAGCATTTTGCCTGCTCGGAAAACCCCACTGGCTCTCACTGGACAACTCCCACCCCAAACCCCACGTGCCCGTTTCCTTACCATGATGCAAGCATGGGCCTTGTGATAGTAGGACGGGTGCAGGCTCTGGAAACGCTCCTGGCCGGCCGTGTCCCAGAAGTCTGGAAAGCAGGAATTCCACAGCTCACAAAGGACCCGCTTAACTAACAGAATCCCTCTGGGTCAATATGTCTCAACCTCGGTGGCTTGAAGATGGGTGGACTTCAACTCTCAGAATTCCTCAGCCAGCAGGGAGTTGGAAGTCCACCCATCTTCAAATGGGCCGCTTCTCTAAGTCAGAAGATCCATTAAGTCAGCCTCCTCGAACCTGGGATCTTCTGAAAATGTGTGGACTCTCTGAGCCCTTGTAGGTGCCGGGGAGAGAGAGATGAAGGATCTGCTGCTGAGACCCAATGACCAGGGGCATCTCCCATCCAGCAAGCTTCTCAGCCCCTCAATGGGCAACTTCAAGCCATGGACAGATGTGTAATCAGAATGGGGTCCCACCCAATGAGATCAGGGAGTGGACTCTACACGATGGTCTCCCCAACTGCGTCCAGCAAGCGCTTACCCACAAGAACCGTCTTGCCGTCCACGGTGGCTGTGTACTTGTAGAGGGTCAGGGCGAAGGTCGAGAGCTGCTGTGGTTTGCTGTGGGTCAGGGTCAAGGAAAGGAGGCGGAAAACCACGGTGGTCTTCAGAAAAGAAAGGCGCGAAGTAGAGGTTCCTCAGAAGAGGCAAGCCCATCAATGCAGCATCAGCCCACCCAACCCTAGAGCGAGTTTAGGACAGTTTTAGAACAGGACTAGAATCATACGGCTAGAAGGGACTTCAGAGGTCTTCTAGTCTAACCCCCTGCTCCAGGCTGGAGACCTTGTATCATTCCTGGTCAATCTTCTGACAACGCAAAGTCAAGGAGGAAGCCAGATTCATTTCACAATCATGTTACTCACTTACAATCTGGGGCAAGAAAGGTCATGAAATGGGGCAAAACTCGTTTAACCACTGACCTGCTTAGCAGTGGAAGTTTTGGGCTCATTTGTGGTCACAAGTCAAGGGCTACCTGGATCTTAATTACAGCTTTAATTATTTCATTAAATTATTTCCTGGGTAGGTAGAAGGGAAGTAGGTAGGTAGGTAGATATATAGATACATGAGAGATTATAGGGATGGATGGATGGATGGATAGATCGAAGATAGTAATTAGATATAATACAGTGATCAGAGGTAGAGATAGATATAAAGATAGATAGAACATATGATGGCTAGACAGACAAACAGATAGATAGTACATAACGGATGGATGGATGGATAGAAGAAAGAGAGGGATGGATGGATGATAGATTGATAGATAGATAGATAGATACCATGTTTCTCCAAAAATAAGGCCCTGTCTTATATTTTTTTGAACCCTGAAATAAGCACTTGGCTTTATTGCCATGCGCTCAAAAGCCCGATTGGACTTATTATCAGGGGAAGTTCTTATTTTGGGGGAAACAGGGTAGATAGATAGATAGATAGAACATAATAGATGGATGGATGGATGGATGGATGGATGGATAGATAGATAGAAGAAAGAGGGATGGATGGAGAGATTGGAAGAAAGGCCCTGGCTAATTTCCAATTCTCTCCTTTGGGCCATCCGAATCTTCGGGCTCGTCCATTCGGGAAGGCCAGGTTCCTTCTGGATGCTGGAAGAAACTCCAGCTGGTTTTAGTCCCCCAAGAGCCGAGGAGACGCCTCCGCACGCTTTTCCTGGGGTGGGATTTCCCCCCATTGGCCAAGTGTCAAAGGATACAATCCCTCCATGAGGAAGCGTTCCATCAATCTGGAAAAGAGGGAAAACGCCCCATTGAGGAAAACGGGTCCAGCTTCTGTAGGAGACGGCCAGGCAGAGCCCGGGGTGGGGGTGGGGATGGGGGTGGTCAAAGGCATCATCGGTCTGGAGTCCTTACACCCCCAAAAGAGACCTAAGACCAGCCTCCCCCTCCCCATGAAGTCCATTGACTCTCAATTGCCTTGACCATTACTAGATCAGATTATTATGTGTACAGGTAGTCCTGGACTTACAATAGTTTTGTTTAGTGACCATTCAAAGTTACGACGGCACTGAAAAAAGCGACTTATGACCATTTGTCACATGTTTCAGCGTTCCCATGGTTACGTGATTAAAATTTGAACGCTTGGCAACTGAATCATATTTATGACAGTTGCAGTGTCCGGAGCAGGAGGGGGGGGGTCACGAAACCCTCTTTTGCGACCTTCTGACCAGCAAGGTCTCTGGAGGAAACCAGATTCACTTAACAACTGAGTTACTGATTTAACAACTCACTTAACAAACGTGGCAAGGAAAGTCATAAAATGGGGCAAAACTCACTTCACAAATGTCTGAGCAATGCAAATTCTGGGCTCGATTCTGGTCGTAAGTCGAGGACTGCCTGTGGGTACCATGGAATAAATTCTCATTGTTCTCAAACTCAGTCCTGGCTTCTGGTTTCCTGAGCCCCACAGATTTCGGATCAACCACTGACCAAGTGGCTGCTTCGGGTTCCCTTCCATCCTACCTTCCTTGGCACCACCACACCCCTAATGCCCAACTGAAGTCCACCTGGAGGAAGGCAGCTGACCCCGATCGGAAGCCCCCTTAGCAAATTTACACGCAAGGACCGAAGGCTCCACCCAAGCCATTGCAAGCCTGGGTGGATTCACCCCATGGCCTGCTTCCCACTGCATCTTCAAACTTGCCTTGCAGAACCACAACCACCCGATCCCACTGGACCCCCCGGGGTGTGTTGCTGGGATCCACAAAACGTGCTAAGCCATCATCAGAAAAAAAAAATGAAAAGCAGAAGCAATAAAGGAGAATATTTGTAGGGTTGAACTCTGGTGCTCTCTGAGCCTGGTGGTTTTCTTGCAGACCTTTCATGACCCAACCAGATAACATCATCAGGGCTAGCACTACCACCGATTATTGTTACCTAGTTTGGGTGATGAAATGTCTCCAAGGAAACCACCAGGCTCAGAGAACTCCAAGGACCCCACAGTCCTCGCCCATCCTCCGCCCTCTCCCTTTCTCCTCCATCACTCCTCCTCCTTCCTCCACTCCTCCTGCCCCTTCTCCTCTTCCATCCCTTCTCCTCCCCTTCCTCCATAAACTCCACTCCCTTCCAGCACTGATGACGTTCCCTAGTTGGGTCATGAAATGTCTCCAAGAAAACCACCAGGCTCAGAGAGGACCAAGGAGGGAGCCGGAAAGCGTCTCAGCTGATGGGGTGAAGGCAGCTGCCTCCTTGTCCCAAGGACCCGGTGCTGAGCTTGTGCGACCTGTCTGGTGGGACTCGCATCCATAACCCATCGGAGCCAGCGGTGGGGCGGAGGGGCTTCAATCCCCAGGATTCCCCAGCCAGAGGTCGCCTTAGAGATCGTCTAAACGTGCCTATCGGAGCACCTGGAGCATCTAGCGGAGCTGCTGCGTCCTCAGGTGGCCACGCTGGGAGGGGAGGGCAAGAGCCCCCCTCCCCTCCCGGGACCACCCGTGGGGCAGTTGAGCCCCTTCTGCTCCGAAGCCCCCATCGGCCGTTGTGGCTCTCTGGGGAGGGGGGGGGAGGCGATGTCGGGTCCAAAGGGCCTCAGGGGCCCCATCCTGGGCTGCAGAGTTAGGGGGGTCGCGACCCTCTCCCGTGGCTCGGGCTCCGGAGGGGGGGGGCGCAGAGCAGCGGAGCCCTGCCCAACGGTTGCGCGGGGCGGGGGGTGGGGGGGTGAGCGAGAAGAAGACCCTCCCCCGTGGGGGGGGAGGGGAGGGGGCCGCCCCCCCACTCACTTGGACTTGCCGACGGCGCTGTCGCCCAGGCAGATGATCTTCACGTTCTCCGCCGCGTCGTACTTGTCCTGGTCCAGCCCGGCGTTGGGGGGCTCCCCCTGGGGACCCCCCGCCTTGGCCATGCAACGGCGCGAGAGACGGCGGCCGCCCCGGGAAGGGAAGTCAAGCAGCCGCGCTCCCCCGGCTCTGCAAGGCTGCGCCCGCGGGCGCCTCTCCCGCCGCCGCCCCCCCAGCCCCGCTCCCCGCCCAGGAGACGCCGGCTCGGCTGCCAGGCGACCGGCCGGATGCTGCGCGCGGCCCCGCGGGACTCGCCCGCCCCTCCCTTCCCGCTTCCCTTGGCAAGCCCTGGAGGGGGGGGAGGGGGCCGCCGGGCGTGCAAAAGCGTGCAAAGCCGTCCCGGCCGCCCCTGCGGACCAGGAAGTGTGCAAAAGCGCCGCCCTTGCTTCTCTCCGCCTGCTCCCCTTGCAAAGCGTGCAAAAGTGTGGCCCGGCCTCCCGCCTCCCCTTGCAAGCCGGAGCGTGCAAAAGCGTCCCGGGGGCTTCTCTCGGCCTGCTCCCCTTGGCAAACCGGGCTGGGTTTCGGGGAGGTGGAAGCGTGGAAAAGGCGTGCCAGAGTGTGCAAAGGGGCCCTGCAAGCGAGGGGGAGGTGCCAAAATGGGCAAGAGTGTCACAGCTGCTGCCCCCTGGACACCTATGTGCGCGTGCGTGTGCGGGGGGGGGGCAGTGAGTGGGGGGTCCACGCGTGCAAAAGTGTGCAAGGCGTCCCGGCCACCCCTCACTTCCGGCTCCTCCTGGCAGCTCGGGGGAGGGGCGTGCAAGAGCGTGCAAGGCGTGCCAGCCCGGAAGGGACCGTGCTGGTGCGCCTCCCTTTGCAACGGAGCGGCTGGCCGAGCGAGACCCCCGGGGGCCACGATGAGCGCCTCCTGGCCGGGGCTGCGGCGGGCCCTGCAGCTGACCCTGGCCGTCGTCAAGCCCGACGCGGTGGCCCACCCTCTGGTGCTGGAGGTAAGGGCAAAGGGCAGGCAGCCCACTCGTGGCCTGGGGGGGGCAGTGCAATTCCCCCCACCCCGCCCCCCAATTGGGCCTTCTAGAGCAGGGGTCTCCAACCTTGGCCACTTTAAGCCTGGAGGACTTCAACTCCCAGAATTCCCCAGCCAGCAAAGCTCGGAGACCCCTGTTCTAGAGCAAGGTTTCTCCACCTGGGTCTCTTTAAGCCTGGAGGACTTCAACTCCCAGAGTTCCAAAGCTGGCTGAGGAATTCTGGGGGTTGAAGTCCACCTTCCTTAAAGAGACCCAGGTGGAGAAACCGTTAAGAGCTGTGGTTGAAGTCAGGCTTGTTCTTGAGGGTGTTCAACACGCCTACATGAAGTAACACGCGTGCAGGACCCCCAAGGAAAGAGGGACCCAGCCAATCGCACCCATAACTCTTTCAGTGCCACACTCCACTCCAGTTTTCAGCCATTATGGAGTCTTCACATCCGGCCAGTTAAGCAGCCGAAGGACCAGATAACTCCATGCTTGGCCTCCTCTTAGGACATCTGTTGACCTTGATCCAGCCCTGGTGGTCCACCCTCGACAGTGGGTGCAAGCCATGGATGGAAAGCTGCCCCCCTGCCTCATCTGAAGTTTTGTAGAGTTAAGAGCTGTGATGGGTGAACAAGGGTCACCTCCAGAGGTCCACTGGTCAAGGAGGATCTTGTCCTCTCGGGATTGCAGTTGACATGGCTGTCCCCACATTTTGAGGGCATGAAGATTTATTTGGGTTGCACCGAGAGCGGTTTGCTATGCGGTTTTCCAGGGTCCCCTCAAAGAGCTTTATTGGTGGCACCCCAGTCTTTGGAGAGACCCTCACCCACACCACGTTCTCCAGCACATTCATGAACCCACAATAAGGTGTCTCCCCACCTTCCCTTCTCTCCCCTCCCCTTCCCTTCCTTTTATAGAAGGAGTTGGAGGTCCAGGTCAGGTTCTGACTTTCCAGTGACGCATCGGGTAGACCATGGGTCACCATCAAGCTGGGTAGATGGGGAAGCTTAGACCTTCTGTTGCCGTGAGACCTCCTGGTGCAATTGGCTGGCCCTGATTTGAGATCTCCACTGCTTGGATGATTTTGTGTATTTTGTGCCTGGATTATTTCTTTCTAAAAATTGGGATTAGGGTCATTGTGTGAGGGGAAATTGGTTGTTGGAGAGCTAAGGTCTTCTCCATTTTGGGACCAGTCTTAGGCAAATAAGTGATGACCCACTTCAAAAATGTTTTGGAGTCTTCAAACTGAATTCTGTTGTGGGGTTAAAAATGCCATCGGAAGCTGCAGCAAGACAAATCATCTATGGAGATTCTCCATCATCCAGGACATGATTTGTCCCAAAGGTGGATTTTTCCCCCAGAAGGCGAATGGACTTTCTTGTTTTTTCTTTGAAAATGTTTCACTTCTCACCCAAGAAGCTTCTTTAGTTCTTCAGAACTGCTTCTTGGATGAGAAGCGAAATGTTTTCAAAGAAAAAAAAAATCCAGTTGGCCTTTGGAAAAAACAGCTTTGGGGCAGCAGGAGAGGTGAGTTTTCTCAGAAGCTAAAGTCTCTCACCTTCACCAAAAACCAGATGACATGGGGTGGCCTTTTGGACTTCCGTGGCCTTCCCCTTAGATTGTCCCAAAGGTGCTTTTTCACGAGGCAGCTGGACTTTCCGGTTCTTCTTTGAAGACGTTTCACTTCTCATCCAAGAAGAAGCTTCATCCAAGAGTTGAAGAAGCTTCTTGGATGAGAAGTGAAACGTCTTCAAAGAAGAACCGGAAAGTCCAGCTGCCTCGTGAAAAAGAAGCATCTTTGGGACAACCAGGACCAGGATGACTTGAGAGCCTCCACAGACATTCCCCTTATATTCTTTCCTGCCTTCTCTTAGGCTGTGCATGAAACCATCCTGAGCCACAAATTCTTGATCGTCCGGACAAAGGACCTTCTCTGGAGTAAGGAGGACAGTCAGAGGTTCTACCAGGAGCACTCAGGTTGGTGTGAAGGCTTCCAGGTGCATCGGGGGCTGAAATCCTGGTTACTGGGAAAGACTGGGGAAGGGTCTCTTGTCCTCCAGTCCAGTCTTGAGATCCTCCCCAGTGCAGCCCAGTTGGCCTGTGGATGTCACAGAAGCTGGAGTAGATGACCCTCGGGTTTGATCCAGTTCAGAGTTCCTCTGATGGTCTGAGGCTTCCTACCCCCCAAATATCTTCATATCCAGGTAAAGGAAGTCCATAGGGGTTCCGTAGAGGGAGCCTGAAAACCCCAAGTCCCCATTTTGGGGCCTTGAAGAAATAATCTCCAGCTTTCTAGAGATTAAAATTTGGGCCTCCTAATGTTGACCATGTCGGTGTCTTTCATGGGGCATGGAGATGAGAGTCGTCCTGGGTGAACCTGATCCAGGTATGGGCAGACAATCATGTAGTTGGGCTGAAGAAAAGGCTGGGTCAGATCCTTCCTCCAGGTCCTTTCTGTGGGTTGGATGACATCCTGGGGTCAGGGATCAAAGCTGAAGTCCACAATGTTCTTGTAAGCCTTGGCCATCTTGGCTGCTGCATCCCTACCTGAAAGTTGGGGCGAGCTGATGTGCTGGGCCCTCCGTGCTGGATCCAAGCCGCTTTGGAGCACACCAGCCCTACACCTCAGTCGTGCGGTGGGGCCTTGCTTGCATTGAGGTCCAGCAGGGTGGAGAGCGAGCAGAGCAGAAACCTCCTTGTTCTTCATCATCTTCCTCTTCTTCTTCCAGGGCGCTTTTTCTACCAGAGGCTGGTGGAGTTCATGTCCAGGTAGGTCCAGAGCTGGTGGTGAGAAGACCTCCTTCCTGTTCCCCCTCAAAGGCCTCTGGTTCCCCCAGCTGCCTTCACACCAAACACTTAATAGTTTTGTTCTAAAGGAGGGCGAGACGAGGAAGGGGAATGCTGAAAAAGTAGGAAAAAAGGACAGGCCTCATTTGGTCCCAGCCACCATCTTGGCTTTTTTCTTTTTGGGGAGACCCTTGTCCGTATTATACCTTGGTCTCCTGACGCAAAAGAGGCGGAGAGGCCGGTTGCCCTAAAAATTTACCATGTCATTAGAACAGGGGCCTCAGTTCTCCACCAGATGGAAAGGGCAGGAGCAGCTAAAATTCATTAAATAAATAAATAAATATTTTTTTTTAATATATATTTTTATTAATATATTCTATACACTAATACACAAATAAAATATACAATCCTGCCACCATGGTATAATATGATTACATTGTCCATAAGTATAAAATCATTCCTTTATACATACATATTTGCCATCATATATATACATCATCATATGTCTATTCTATCCCACCTTTTCTGGACCCAATCGTACCATACTTTCCAACTGTTATAAAATTCTGAATCTTTTTTACCATTGATCAATCTAGTTAGTCTATCTGATTCCGCACACTCATTAATTTTATATATTATTTTCAAATCTATCGGTAAGTATTGATTTTTCCACTCCTGCGCATACGCTAATCTTGCTGCAGTGATAATGTGAATCAACAAGAACATATATCTGACTTAACATTCAAAGGTTTTGCCCCCAATAGGAAAATCTCAGGTCTTAATTCCAAATTAATCTGTGTAATTTCCAAAATCCATTGCCGTATTTTTTTCCAATATTTAACCGCCTGCGGGCAGGTCCACCATGGGTGAAAATAGGTTCCATTGCTGTAACCGCACTTCCAACAGCAGGCAGATGTCCCGGGAAACATTTTAGCTAATCTCGCCGGGGGTAGATGCCACCGGTAGATCATTTTATATATGTTTTCTTTATATGAGGAGGCCATGGTTAATTTCATATTTTTCAACCAAATCTGTTCCCATTGCTGGAAGTCAAGGGGATATCCAAAATTTCGCCCCCATGCTATCATACAATCCTTCACTACGTCCTGTCCTATCTGCAGAGACAATAAATATGCATAACATTTAGATAATATCCCTTTCCCTCCTTCTAATAAGATCTTATCCAATTCTTGTCTTTTACTGTAGATTCCTTCACTATGTAAATCTTTTTTATACTGGAGTGCACTTGAGAATAAGACCACCAGTCTATCTTATATCCTTGAAGAGTTAATAATTCTCGTGACTTTGGATAACCCTGAACATCCAAGAAACCTTCATACGTCAAGGTTTTCTCCCCTTTATACAATGTCGGGTAAACCTGAGCTTCCTGTGCCGAGATCCAACATGGAACTTTTGTGTATACTCTTCTTCTAACCTTTTCCCAAGTGTACCCAAGCGTCCTACCTAAATAGTGATCATCAAAGTATCTAGGAATAAATAAATAAATAAATAAATAAATAAATAAGTAAGTAAGTAAGTAAGTAAGTAAGTAAGTAAGTAAGTAAGTCAATCAATCAATCAATCAATCAATCAATCACCCCATCCACGCGTCTGTCCAGTTGAGAAATAGCAGAAATTCCCAACAGATTTGCAATGGGAAAGATGAGAAATTTTTCTCTCTTTTTTTCATGCATATTTTTTATTTTATATAAAACAAAGTTAAAATACAAAAATACAGAACTAAAAAAAAAAAAATCCAAGAAGACAAAAAGCAGAGGTCTTCAAACTTGGCAGCTTTAAGACTTGTGGACTTCAACTCCCAGAATTGTGTATAAGGTGGATGGACTCTGTTAGCCTGGTTGGGAGACCTGGAAGACCAGGTAGGGGCCCTTCTGTCTGGTCCCTGACTGGATGGATGTGTGGCACCTAATCAAAAAGCACTTGTGTGTTGTGTTGTGTTGTGTTGTGTTGTGTTGACCACCAGGAGGCAGCAGAAGCCCACTTTCATAAATGGCCAGAAATTATTCTATGAGGTTTGAGGAACTTCCAGGGCTACTGTAGATCAAGGAGCTTTCTGTCTTGATATTCCAAATGGGGGAATGCAGGTGTTGTTCTAGATTGTAAGGGTTCTAGGTTTGGAGGAAGGAAGGAAGGAAAGAAGGAAGATGGAAGGCAGGAGGAAGGAGGAAGGAAGGAAAGAGTGATGGGGAGAGAGGAAGGAAAGAAGGAAGAAAAGGAGAAGAGGGAAGGAAGGAAGGATAAGGATTTTGAAATACGCAGAGACCAGGGAGTCTCGTTGATTTATCTCTCCTTGCCTTTTCAGTGGCCCCATGAGGGTTTATATCCTGGCTCACGAGGAAGCCATCACACGCTGGAGATCATTGATGGGTCCCACCAAGGTTTATCGTGCCCGCCACATGGCTCCAGACTCCATCCGTGGGACTTTGGGCCTCACCGATACCCGGAACACCGTCCATGGCTCAGGTGAGCCCCAGAGCTGAATGCGTAGAAAAGGGTGGCACAGGTGGCTCTTGAAGGCCTCTTGAAGTTGTGGGTGCTCCAACACTGGAGGTTTTTAAGAAGTGACTGGACAGCCATTTGTCTGGAATAGTATAGGGTCTCCTTCCTGAGCAGGGGGTTGGACTAGAAGACCTCTAAGGCCCTTCTGACTCTGTTCTTCTCTCCTTCCCCCCAGATTCTGCAGCCTCAGCCAGCAAGGAAATTGCCTTCTTCTTCCCAGATTTCAGTGAAGAGGAGTGGTACCAACACGAGGAGCCACAGCTCCGTAGAGAAACAGTTGGAGCTCATGCAGTCATCGGTTGCCACCTGCAAGATGGCTAAATGGAGCAGGATTAGCCACCTTGAAGTTCCTCTCATGGATGTCAACTGAGGTTCTGCCATGACCAGCAGGTGGTCCTCATGAGCTGAGGCTTCCTTACAGCGTGCGAACTTTGCTGTTGGAAGATGCCCAGTGGAGAGTGGTTTTTGCCCCTCTTCTTATGCCAAAGATCAGACACACGTGTGTGAACCATGTACAGTCTTCACTGATTCTCACCTTCCCTGGGATGTTTCATGGAAGGGCAGGGTTTCCAGGCTGGGCAGATCAGTCTGCATTGGATCTCTTGAAGCACCTGGGACCGAGGATGACGTCCAGAAGGTGGGACCCTAACCGGGATAGACCTGCCTCCAATCTAGAATGTCTTGGGTTACTATCTGGAAGTTGAGTCATGGCAACTGGTGGACTTCTCAGGAGAACTGGAAGATCTTCTCAGGAGAACTGGAAGATCTTCTCAGGAGAACTGGAAGATCTTCTCAGGAGAACTGGAAGATCTTCTCAGGAGAACTGGAAGATCTTCTCAGGAGAACTGGAAGATCTTCTCAGGAGAACTGGAAGATCTTCTCAGGAGAACTGGAAGTCCAGTTGCCAGGACTCAACTTCCAGGCAACTTTAGGTAGATGCCTTAGAATTTTTATTGACTCTTAGGTTCCTGGTTTCTGGGACAGATTTTGCGCACATGCCAAAGCGCCTTTTGCCTTGAGGATTTACACCCTGAACCCCTTTGGAGGGGGAGGGCAGTCTTGCCCCAGGCAGCTGTAAGATGGACGTGCTCCCTCTCCACCTTGTGCTTAAGACCTCTGACCTCTTGCATAACTGGCTGGGGAATTCTGGGAGTTGAAGTCTGGGAGTCTTAAAGTTGCCAAGGATGGACATGCCTGCCTTAGACTCTGAGTTGTCCAGCAAACCCCAGAAAGTCCCTTCCTTGTGATCCTCCAAGCATCATCTCCTCCTTTGGAGAGTTTGGAGTTTGACCTCTGTATTTTATATCTTTCTAAAGCAGAGGTCTTCAAACTTGGCAGCTTTAAGACTTGTGGACTTCAACTCCCAGAATTCTCCAGCCAGCATAGCTGGCTGGAGAATTCTGGGAGTTGAAGTCCACAAGTCTTAAAGCTGCCAAGTTTGGGGACCCCTGTTCTAAAGTATCAAACCCAAGAGAGTTGCGTTTTTCCAAAAGGGAACAAGCCTCAAGGAAAGACTTCACCTGTTCCGCCTTGGCCTCCACCCGGACAGTAAATATTTGTTACCATCTGGGAAGACGATAAAGGGTTTTCACCCTGAAAACCAACACATAAATTAGATTATTTATGAGTCTCTCTCTGGCCAACCAAGCGGACTCTGCTGCTTTTTAGACCCGATGGTCAAATACATCCTTGTTCAATGGAAGGGCGATGCCCGCTCCATCCCAGGTGTGGCTGCCGGAACTTCCCCAGAAATGAAAAATGAGGTTATATTTGCCCAGAGTCCATATTATGGAACAATTAGCAAGGATTTTTTAAAAAAATATTAATTACATTAATCCCTATTTTGGGTACAAATTCTCCAAACTTATTTATCTTATTGGTAAATTATTCCTGTCGTTTCAGGGTTTAATTGGGTTTTGTATTGGGGTTTTATGTCTGTAAGCCGCTCGGAGTCCCTGTGGATCAGCCTTATAAATTTTCTTAATGAAATAAAAATAAATATATTGTTAGATAAGACGAAAAAGTGGCACCGAATCTGAGCAAGTGGCAAAGCATTAGCAAATTGTCAAGGGAATGGTAAGGATGCCAATGAGAGGGTCTGCAGGAGGAATTAAGTGCCCAGGTAGCCATAAAAACTGCCCAATCAAATGATTTTTTAATCATGCATGGGAATCGGGCTGTGATTATTTTATTTTATTATTTTATATTTATTTAATTTTTATATTTTTTATATTTTACTTTATAATTTTATATTTTATTTTTTCATTTAATTTTATTTATATTTTTAATATTTCATTTATTTTATTTATTATTTTATTATTATTTTCCTGCCTTTCTTATTTTTACAAATAACTCAAGGTGGCGAACATATCAAACACAACAATTTTCTGACGCTCCTATTTTCCTTACAACAATAACACCATGAGGTAGGTTGGGCTGAGAGGGAGTGGCTGGCCCAAAGTCACCCAGTTGGCTTTCATGCCTCAGGTGGGACTTGAACTCATGGTCTCTCACTTTCTAGCTTGGTGCCTTAATCCCCAGCTGTGTGTTCGAAACCTCCATCTTGGTTTTTTTTTTTTTTTTTGAAAACCACATAACACTCTCAAAAGTGCAAAGAAGGATTCTTTCCTGAGGATAAAAGCCCTTTCCAAGTTGAAAGAAGGGAAAATGACCCCCCTGAGTTCAAAATGATACGATTTTACAGACGTTTTATTAACTGAGATACCAATTTTTCTCAACACTTCAGCGCGGAATTGATAAATAGCAGAGTTGGGAACTTCTATAACTATCATTTATAATTTTTAATTATAAGATTGCAACTTCCCATCATTATACCCTGTGATTACTATTATAAATTGCAGTTAATTTGCAGCTGAGGTGGAGGACGCTGGTTCATGAAGGAGATCAAAGCAAATTGGAGAGAAAGGATGTGGGGAGCCAAGCGCCTGAAGCAAAGAACACTCAACCCACATTGGGGGTAGACACATTCTAGAACAGGGGTCTCCAACCTTGGCAACCTTAAGACTTGTGGACTTCAACTCCCAGAGTTGCCGGCTGAGGAACTCTGGGAGTTGAAGTCCACAAGTCTTAAAGTTGCCAAGGTTGGAGACCCCTGTTCTAGAACCTTCTCAGGACTGAAATTAAAGCCTGGTTCACAAGACAGAACCGTAATGATCCATAAAATCTCGGAGTTGAGCATTCTGGGCAAACCAGACCACCACAGTTCCTTCAACAAAGCAAAAGGAAGAATTCTGGCACAGCAAAACACATGAAATCCAGGCAGTGATATGGACCAGTGACTCTGGTCAGGTGTCGGGGAAAGAAACTTCCCGTGCTCTGGGTCTCTGACAGCTCACGGCCGGACAATTCACCTGAGCCAACTCTGCACAGGACAAGAGTTACACTAATATTGAAGAAATGGTGGAATAGAATCATTAAAGAAAGGATGCCAAAGGAGGGGGAAATGAAATGGGAATGACAAAACTTAAAATATTTTGTAATTATTTTAAAGAATCGAATTGTCCCAGAGAGGTTGTCCTGTGGCGAGTTCTCCCACAGTGAATTGGTCGTGGTGAGTTAGAAGGGGCCTTGGAGGTCTTCTAGTCCAGCCCCCTGCCTAGGCAGGAAACTCTGCACCACTTCAAACAAATGGTTATCCAATCTCTCCTTAAAAACTTCCAGTGTTGGAACATTTATAACTTCTGGAGGCAAGTTGTTCCACTGATTAGTTGTTCTCACTGTCAGGAAATTTCTCCTTAGTTCTAGGTTGCTTCTCTCCCTGATGAGGTCCACCCATTGCTTCTTGTCCTGCCTTCAGGTGCTTTGCAGAATAGCTTGACTCCCTCTTCTTTGGGGAAGCCCCTCAAATACTGGAAGACTATTATGTCATTCCTCCTCTTCATGAAACCAGGAATATCCAATTCCAGTAACTGTTCTTTATATGTGTGAATCTCCAGTCCCCCAATCATCTTTGTCCCATTCTGCCATGTTGGAGATGACATGAATTCTCCTGCAAAACGATGCATAGCATTACATCTTTTTGTAAAGAAAGCCTTCTCCCTTTGATGGGGAGTCTGTCTTCCTCAATCTTGGGTCCCCTCCCAGAGGCCTGGGAATTTGAGGGTTCTGGTCAGGATCTTAGTTGTTCCTAGCACTCTTCTGGATAGGGAGCTCGGATGTCCTCCCTGGGATCTGTTGAAGAACCACTTCTAGCTTAGTCACAAGCCCCGAGTGCTCCTACCACACAGGGACCACTTTGGCCTTTCCACATCCCCTCCAGTTCCTCCTCCAGGCTCTGCTACTTCTACTCTTTCCTGATGTTGCTGCCTCCTGGCACCACTACATGTATCACCATCACTGTCTTCTTGTCTACTATTGCTATGTCTACTTGATTGGCCAGTACTTGGCTTGCCTAAAAGTCTGCCGAGATTCTTAGCCATCCAGGTATGGTTGTCCCAGAGGTACTTTTTCAGGAGGCAACTGGACTTTCTCTCAAAGGATGCAAATGACCAGCTATCTGCAAGGAATATAAATCCTTCCATTCCGCTCCATCCATCCAGAGCCGAAGAAGCTTCTTGGATGAGAAGCAAAACATCTTCAAAAGAAAAAAACCAGAAAGTCCAGTCGCCTCCTGAAAAAGCACCTTTGGGACAAGACGGAGCAGAAGACCGAGGCTAGCAGAGTAAGAGTAGGGGGATCCTTACCTGGCAAGTGTCGATCCCTCCTTCCTCATAGCCAGCACACAAGGTGTGGGGGCTCATCGCCCCATTGTACCAATCGCTGCTGTTGCATTTCTGGGTGTCCAAGATGTTCAGTTTGGCTTCCTGCAAGACATCGGAGGTCCTCACACCTCCGAGTAGATAAAGGAAGTGGATTAATTTGGCTTCTGCCACCTGGTGGAGGCTCACACTTCCTCCCTTCCCAACACCCCCTGCCCCACATTCCTTAAGAACCAAGAACAAGACCCCCACAGGTGTCCAAAGGACAATAACTCTTTACGAAGCCTCCGTAAGGCCACAGCTGGAATACTGTGAGAAGAAAAGGAAAGCTTGTTAGGAACTCAGCAATCTGTGCCCTGCAGGGTTTGCCAAGGGCTCCTTTGGCCCTCCGGGAGTCCGTCTCCTTACTGTTTTCAGCCGTGATTCCCCAGCCTGTAGCAAAGCAGCTGGTGAAGTTGGTTTCGGAGCCCATGGTGACCCGAGGCAAGCAGGCCGGTTGCACGTAGTCATTGAACGTCACTGGGCTGTCCAGCTTGATCAGCGCGATGTCGTTTTCCTCCGTGAGGGGATTATAATCTTGATGGAGGACCACTTTGCTCACGGTGTGTGTCTGCACGTCATCTGGCAGCTTGGAGAGATCGGTGGCTCCCACCACAATCCGCCAAAGATGCAACGAGCTGCAGAAAAACGGAGCGCAGTTAGTAGGAGACCCACTGGAACAGGGGTGTCAAAGTCCATTTCATTGAGGGCTGCATCAGGGTTGTGTTTGACCTCGGGGGACCAGAGGGGACGGCATGGCCAGGGTGGGCATGGCCAGCTCGATGTCACTCATTGAGGCTCCGTTTTCAGCCACGACGGCCTCCTGCAGCCTCTGCCACCGAAAACAGAGCTTGGGGAGGCTGCACGCGGCCCATTCGGGCTCTGTTTTCGGCCACGATGGCCTTCTGCAGTCCTTTTCCAGCCCTTTTTTCCTCTTGAAAGAAAGCCCCTTTGGGACACTTGGCTTGTCTGTCTGGGTCATAGGACCTCAACTTTCTTCTTCTCCTTGACCTCTTGTGGATCTCCCATCTAGACTTACGATGTAAATATTTCTCTACTACACAATGCCAGCTACCTGGTTGTGCTGTTCAGTGCCATCTTACCCCCTGCCGCTGCGTGTTGGGCTGCCTTGGAGGCCTCCGGGCGTAGGCTGCCCCTGGGGTGCAGGTGGTGGTGGAGGCCTGCTTCTATGGGTCTGGCGCTCAGTGCCTCTTCGGCTGCTGCCATGGTCAGAGCCTCTGCCCTTTCCAGTTACGGGTAGGATTTCCCCATGTCTGGCCACCTCAGCTATCCGTAGGGGAACATTTGTAGCTCAGGGCTGAAATGAGGGGTCCCCGGTGCTCCCTGAGCTGGGTGTTTTTCTTGCAGACGTTTCATTACCTGATTAAGTGACATCATCAGTCCTGGAAGGGAGTGGGGTTTGCAGGGAGGGAGCTGAGGGGTCCTTGATGCTCTCTGAACTTGGTGGGTTTCTTGCGGATGTTTCATTCCCCAAATTAGCACTGATGATGTTACCTAGTTTGAGTAATGAAACATTTGCAAGAAAACCACCAAGCCCAGAGAGCACCAAGGACTCTCTCAGCTATCTGTGGATGGGCACATCCCATGCAGAGTCTTACCTTTATTATCTTTATTAGCTTATTAAAAGGAGAAATAAAAACCTAACAATAAATAGTCAAGGAGGCTAGAAGACAGAATAAACAAAGAAATGACAGGTGCAATAAAAAAAAGACAAACAAAGAATTCCAGTTCCCTTTATAGCAGATATAGATAAAACTCAACTTTGCTCTGTTAGAAGAAATGTCCATTTGGGTTCAGCTCCAAATGAGGAAAAAGAAACAAACAACAAAATTAAACTTTAAAGCTCTCTGTTTACAATGTTCTTGTAATTTACACGCAGTCAGTCTACAACGGCTTCTAATCTACCATAAACCATTATCTCTGATCTGTCCAGGATCAAACATCTTCGATGGATTCTTAATAATAAAATAATAAAAGTTGGAGATTTCCCGAGAAAACAGCTGAGTGATAGGTTTCTCTGTCCTTTGCAGGATGTGGGCGACACCTGCTTTCCAGAAATTTCCATCCTGCAGGGTGTGAGCCTGTGAGTTGGGGTATATAAGCTGGAACACAGACCTTGGTGATCTAGAGGATTTCTCCTTCAGATTGGATCCCTCTTTGAAGGTGAGAGTCATAGATTAGAGAAAGAAGAGTAACATGATTTAACTTGAGAGAGATCGAGAGAGAGAGATTATAACATATTTGTATTTATAATTGCTGTGAAGAATATCAGAAGCTACTTCTTCCTATCTTTTTTCTTTTCTCTTTTTCTTTAGTCTCCCACACCCTCTTTTGATCTTTCTTTCCTTTCTTTTGGCTTCCTTACTTTATATTCATTTAGATTGGTTTTCAATGTTCTTGTTTAAAAGTTTCAATACCAAATAGCAATAGCTTCAGGGAACTTCGGCTCTCAGAGCTATGCGTGTATATCTGTTGCTCTGATTAAAAGGGTTTTCAACAAAATCAGGAGATCTCCAGATGCAAAACCTTCACCCCCTTTTAAAGAATGCCTGTAGTTTGAAATTCTTCAACATCCCTTGCAAGAACTCCAGGACAAAAAGATAGAAGAGATAATTTATTTGACTGATGAGGCATCTTGGGTTATAAAGCAACTGAAAGTCCTGTATCTCTCATAAGAGATCGATGGTTGGCATTGTGTGTGTTTATGTCTTTCTTTGTCCATTTTTGGCAACCAAGGTGGTTCACAGGATTAAAAGGATGGGTGGGTGAAAGGGGAGGATTGCTTTTCTTGTCCACGGTAGAGATGAAGAGAAACAGAAGAGGATAAATCAAGACGGGGGCCTTAAAACTTGAATCCCTTCCATTTAGGCATTGAGTTCATTGGGGTTGAGGATTAGCTAAGGGTCCCTTCTCCAAATTCTTCTACCAGGTAGCTTGCTCTGACTTTACACCATCCATACGACCTGGATCACCTCTGCTGTGACCCAGATCTTAATGGTCACAATGGGGGAAAACCAACGATGAGGGCCAGAAGCTCAGAACCAACATTTTGAGAATTACAGGCTGTGGTTCTTGGCAGAACGGGGGTCTCTACCAATTGCTCAGGGTAGTATTGGGGAGGGGAGGGGAGGGGGCTGCAATTCAGAGATGAACAGGTGGGTTTCACGGTTGAGACGAGTGCTCGGTTCTTCCTTCTGGGGAGGGACGCCCGAAAGGGGGTGGCCTGGCATTGTTGGAGGACATTCAAGGTTCTTCTCAACTTCTGTTTCCCTCCTCAGGTTTGAAGATGTTTCTCATCACTTGCTTCGTCTTTGGCCTTTTGGGCAGCCTTACCTGGGCAGGTAAGTTGTAGCCAGCAAAGTTGATATATCCCACCTCCATCCTGTTTCCCCCCCGGGTCACCATATATCTAGTCCTTGGCTTATTTTAATGTTTTATTCTTAATGGGGGAGCCTCTACTTCTAGCCATGATCCATTTAGACCAACCCAGAAAGGCATGGAGTTCCAGAAGGCCTCCGAGTCTCATTATATGGACCCCAAACACTGGTACCTACAGGATGAGGCTGGCATCTGTCCACTAAAGAGGACCTGGGCATTTTATATCCCCCAGGACACATCTGGCCCCTCGGCTCTCTCTGTCTGGCCCACGTGAGGTCAGTCGGAAGTTACAAATCAAATGCAGATAAGTGTACGTCATGCACACAATGCAATGCACTGCTTTCATCTTGAAGGCAGCTTTTTATTTCCAGTTTGTGTATGTGGGTGCCTGCGTGCCTACAGACCTTCATAGCCCTGTTGCTTTGGCCCTCCAGAACAGTCCCAGTTTCTTATGTGGCCCCTGGGGAAAGTTGATTGCCCACCGAGCCCAAGAGCCATCTCAGTGTCTCTCAACTTCTGCTCTTGTTCTCTTTGCTTTCTCATTCTGTTTTTCTGCTTCTATTTCAAGTTTTTACTTCTATTGTTTTCTCAAAGTATGGAATACAAAGAAGAATGAAAATAGGAAATCAGGGGAAGGAAAAAGAGAGGGGGACAGAAAATACGGGGCACAAGGGAAAAACGAAAAAAATGTTGACTTCCGACTCCTTTTAGCACAGTTCAAAATAGCAACCTTACAGGCTCAGCTTTTAACTTCTACGCATTAGTATATAACTAGCCGTTTCTATAACAACAAATCTATCAAATCACTCCCCAAAAAATTTAATCACAAGCACAAAATCCAGAAGTGATATGCAAATAAAAAAACTTAATTAAAAATATTCTCTTCTTTGAATAAAGCATTCAATTTAACCATTTCTGCTTTATCTTCCTTGCAGTGGGAATAGTATATATTTCTGTTTGCACTTTATAATCTTTATAAACTATCACCATTTATATTCATGAAATTCACTGTATTCTTATAGATTCTTTAACCTTAAAGGGGGAAAAAACTGTTTTATCCATTTTAAAACTCTAAACTTTTCTTTAAGCTAATACATTTTTTCTTTATAATTTTCTCTTAACATAGATACTTTCTAACACACTTTCAGTAATATTTTACAAGCTTTAGGAATGACTTAAGCAATAAATATAAAGGGAAAAAAATACATTTTCAAACCTACTTTACCTTATGACTTTTTCAATTACAAATTTCAGACCGATAAAAATCCATCCTAATTGCAATTGACTCATTGAGTTTAAGTCACTCCTTCCAGCTTTTCTTCATGGAATAAAATCTTTTTCTTCTCTGGAATGTTTATTAAGTAGCTATAAAGGTCTCTTTTGCTCAAGGATTTCTCAGCCTTGTTATTGTCCTTGAAGAAAAAGCCCATTTTTATTCTGTTTTCCCAGCAGGTCCTCGTGCTCGGAGTATCTGTCCTTCTGGCACCTTTGCCTATAAAGACGGAAGTGAGTGGAATTGCTTCAAGTTCTATGAAGATCGGTTCACCTTTGAAGATGCTGAGGTAACTCACCTGAGTGGGAAGAATTCCCATTATTTTGGCCCAGTTTTTCCAAACTTCACAACTCAAAAAGTTCATGTCATTTTTTGAATGAAGAGCACCTGCTGTATGATTCTTTTTTTTTTAAAGGATAAAGATAAAAGTCTACAAGAAAGAGTCAAGTAAAATATTTCAATAATTCTCTTGGATTCCCTTCAGTTTAATGGGATTAATTGCATGGCTTCACTTCAATATCTGAGTGAAATTTGTCAAGGAAAGTAAAACTCGAATGAGACATCTAACTGCTCCATTTAAGTGGTATTGGATATTGTGTGGTTTAACAGGTTGTGCAACTCGGCTATTGTCTTATCCATGTTGTGGGAACAAGGCCAACAATCATAGGGTTAACAGGTGTCCTCACTTAGCAACATTCACAGTTATGACCGTAATGAAAAGGTATCTTTATGGCCAATCCTCACACTTATGGCAGTTGCAGTTACTTAGCAATTGCTTCACTAAATGACTGAATTGTCAAGCCCAATTGTGGACCTTCAAAAATTCAAGCCATGTTGTTCCAAAGTGGCCCCTTGTCTCTAAGAGTGTCCACACACAAACGCACACCTCCTTCCCTCTCCTCTCTCTCCCACACCTTGCTTTTATGTGCCACTTTTTCATGGATATCCCACCGCTGACACCACTCTCATACCTCGCTCATAAGCATGAGAGTCATCTTCCCCAATATATATTTCTCTTTATTTTTCCTTGTTGGGCCAGAGAGTCGTGCTCGCATTTGCAGCTCCTCTTAGGAGAACTTCTACTGCAGGAACATAGCTGAGAGGACCTTGTCTGCCCAAACTGCAGGACTCCTGGGTTGGTAGACCTGGATTGTAGCAGACATGAGAGGGACAACATGGTTTGTTGGTGCTAAGATAATTTTGGTTCTTGTCTCTTTGCAGCAAGAGTGTCAGTTCAGATGGAAAGGCAATTTAGCATCTTTCAAATCTGACAAGCAGACAAAATCCGTTGGTGCCTATGTCAGTAAAGAAAGCATAGAACGTGGTTGTGTCTGGATTGGGCTCCGACGAGATGCAGGTTCTAGTGTGGTGAGTATTTGGTCTTCCTGTCTCTGAGCAATTAGCAGCTCTTTCCAAAGGGAAGTTTCTTGAGTAGTGATTTACAACCTCCCTGAAAACTCCTTTGGGTGAAGCCGGCACTTGCTGCCCTCCCCCCGCTCTTCCCTTCCCGTTTATTCGTTATCAGGGAGGCACGATCAGGTACAGGGGAGCTTCCACCCCCTCCCCTTCCTTCTCCTAAGAAGCGCCTGAGACTGTTTGGCTGCAGCACCTCCGCCAACCCCCAACCCATGCAATCGATCGCACCATGGCTTCTGGCTGCCAGCGTTGGCAGCTATCCAATTTGCTGGTGGCTAACTGACCCAGGTGGCCAGAATCCCGGGACAAACAGTGTGGTGTCGAATGGGCCAGGCCAAAGCGTGTGGGACGGAGGGGCCGTGGCCCATTGGCCAGGGCACACAGCTAGGGGCATGTCAGCCGAGGATAAAAGCTAGTGGTGAATGCCCGGAGGCAGTTTTCTTCTTAAGCTCTTATCATCTTGATCGTTCTCCTCTGGAGACCCTTCAATTTGTCCGTGTCCTTCCTAAAGTACAATAGCCAGAAGTGGGCACAATATCCTAGTTGATACCACAAGAATTAATCCTGGATCTTTGGCTTGTCAATATTTTCATAGTTGCTTTGAATGAAGAAGGGAAAGGAGTGCTAAACTGGCATAGACAATACCCTTCTTGCTCTTGTTCAGTCATGCCCATCACTTTGCCACCCCTCAGACCATAGCATGCCAGCCCCCCTCCCCCCCATCTTCCACTGTCTATTTCCCCAAAGGTAATACCTTAGAGTGGTGTTTCCCAACCGTACCCATTTTAAGAGCCATAGACTTCAACTCTCAAAATTCCCTAGAAGTTGTGAGTCAAAGTCCACACATCTTAAGACGATCAAGGCCGAGAAAGTCTTCCCTAGAGACAGAACTAGCACTCAAAGGATCTTGATGAGTTAGATAAAGGGTCTGAATGCAACCGTTGGAAATGCAAAGTTCTTTTCTTAGGAAATAAAACCTAAAAGCAGCAGTGTCACATGAAGGGAGCCACTTGGCTAAACACAAAATTCTCCCTCCCCAAAAAAGGGTAGTAAGTGTTCTGTGGGGTCCTTCATGCTCCCTCTCTCCCTCAGTCTCCCTCCCTCCCCCTCTCTCCCCTCCTTCCCTCCCTCAGCCTCCCACTCTCTCTGCCTCCCGCCCTCAGTCCTCCACCTCCTCCTCCTCCTCCTCCTCCTTTCTAGCACTGATGATGTTTCCTAGCTGGGTCATGAAAGGTCTGCAAGAAAATAACCAAGCTCAGAGAGCATCAACGACCCCACAGTCCTCCTCCTCCTCCTCCTCCTCCTCCTCCTCCTCCTCCTCCTCCTCCTCCTCCTCCTCCTCCTCCTCCTCCTCCTCCTCCTCCTCCTCCTCCCCCCACACTCCCTTCTAGCGCTGATGATGTTTCCTAGCTGGGTCATGACTCAAAGGCTCAGGTGTCCTTGTGGCCCCAGAGACCTTGGATTCTGGGCATAGCAAGAGCGATAGCGATAGCGCTTGGACTTATATACCGCTTCATGCACCCAAAGAGTCTAACTGAGCCTCTGTAACAGGCGTGTGGTGCACGCTTTCAGAAAAACCTATTTAACAGGACTTCCCCCTTTGAATTAAATTAAGCTAAATTTAGAATTGGAAAATAAAATTTTCTATCTCCCTCCTCCCCTGTCCCCCACTCACCCACCTCATCATGTTTTTTTCTGCATGGCACAGACTACTGGATGGCGCTGGATTGATGGATCACGAGACATCTATAGAAAGTGGGGGTATAATGAACCCAACAACTTGAATACTAATGAGTATTGCACCTGTCTCCATTCTTCATCTGGTCAGTATGAAAAGCCTTCATTCCTTAGGGTGGTTGGAGTTTGTATCTGTAATTCCAGGAAAGAAGGGGAGGGGAGGGAAGACAGGAAAGGGGAGGGAAGGAAAAAATGAAAGGGAAAAAGTGAAGGGAAAAAGGAAAGAGAAAAAGGGAAGCAAAAAAGAAAAGGGAAAAAGGAAAGGGAAAAGGAAGGGAAGAGAAAATAGGGAAGGGAAGGGAAAAAGGGAAGGGGAGGGAAAGGATGGGAAGACAAGGAAGGGAAGACAGGAAGGGAAGGGAAGCAAAAAAAGGAAAGGAAAAAAGGAAAGGAAAAAGGAAGGGAAGGGAAGATAGGGAAGGGAAGGGGAAAAGGGAAGGGAAGGAAAGGGAAGGGAAAGGGAGGGAAGGGAAGGGAAGGGAAGGAAACGGAGATATCCATACAGATCCTGGGAATAATGCTCCTATTGAAGGAGACTTTTTTGGTGTGGCTGATTTAAAGTACTTATTGGAGAACTTTAAGAGGCAAAAGTTAGACATTTCTAGAGTCTCATAAAATGGTACTTCCTCATCTCAGCATTTGTCGCAGAGGGAACCTAGTCTAACTGCTTTTTTTCTGCCATTTCAAAGCTGGAGAGGTTTGTGAATGCCTGATTTTGTTTCAAACAATGATATTTCCATGGCCACCCAGTTCAACCAAGGGGACTCTGAGTGGAAACAAAAATAAACATACAACCCAAAACATCAATTGTATTTCATCTTAAAAAGTAATCCAGATGTGCCAAAACTGTAATTTAAATAGAATAGATTAATGTTTTTTCAAGATTAGCCACTTTAAGAAGTGTGGCCTTCAACTCCCAGAATCCCCCAAGCAGAGACCCTGGTCTTAACTGCCTTCATGAAAGAGTCGAGTCCGTTGTAGCTCAGCAGGAAGATTGTTCTAGAGCAGGGAGGCAGCCACCGAAAATGGGACCTTCCCAGATCCCATCAGGTGGCAACGCTTAGATGAGGGGAGCTGCAGCATGGCCCCACCCCACCTGTAGCTGAGCTGGAAGGTGGAGTTAAGCTTGTCATCTCTTTAGAGTCTTTGTGTCACCACAGGAGACCTCAGTCCAGTCCTCTGGAGGTCTGCTGGCCCTTATCCAGAGCCAATTTACCTCTGACTGTTAGTTGACTAGATTCTTGCGTGTTTGTACTTGACACCATCCATGAGGGGACAGGCAGGTGTATTTGAGAAAAGATACTCTGCAAGCAGCCAAATCCTAAGCCACATCAGGCTCTTAAGATGTTCACCACCTGTGTTCCTTCCTTTCAGGGTTCTTGACTTGGATTGATATAGACTGTAACAACCGTCTGAATTTTCTCTGCAAATGGAAACCCTCTTAAGCCAAGTCTGCAGATGGAGTTGGGGGGCTCCCCATTGATTGGAAAGCTGAGCTGAGATCTTGTGTTTCCATCTTCTTCATGTGCAAAACCTCTTTTCCACAAAGACCATCTGAAGGTCAAGCAGTTGGTTCCTCTCTGTCCTCTAGACTTGCTTCTCTTCCCCTCTTTCTGAAGAACTTGCCCCCCCTTGATAATAAAGTCTATTGCTCTGCCCTTGTCTTGAGTTTGGATTTTCTCTCCCAGGGTGTCCAGGGCCCCTCCCTGAATGAGTCTCAGAGGGAAGAGGGTGTTGTCTCTGCAGATGAGTTTCTGGTCACAAAACACACAATGCAACCTTATCAGCTCCTTTCCTGGGGTCCTTCTTGTCAGAGTTTCTTGCAAAAATCAAATCCAGAAGCACACGCAGCTAACTGATTCAGCTGGATTCATTCACTTCTTTATTTATATAATAACAGATAGTTGATTCTTCAGGCAGAACACAAGGCAGGAGAGAACAGTTACTTTCATTTTAGATCTGAGCACAGGGCAGGCAAGTTTACACACTGGTTTCGGTTTCTCTGCACAGACTCAGAAGCTGCAGACATGCCCTGGCTCCAGTCTCAGCTCCCAACTGGCTGACTTCGTTGCTATGCCTATTCACTGGCTGACCTTGTTACCATGCCTCTATTCCAGTTCATGAATATACTCTTCTCTCCTGCCTTTTTTCTCAGAGGGAAATGTGAGATTAATGAGAGGAGAAATAGGGATTTGTGGAAATAACGTTCCCCTGGAGAGAAAAGGATCCACGCAGGGTGGGTAGCTGGAGAAACCCTGAACCAAACCAGACCAAAAAGCGGAAGGAAAGAAATGCATTCAGGATGCCCATATTCTGGTTCATTGGCACCTCCTGCAGGGTCTGGGGAGCCAGAGGTTGTGTGTCTTCTAGGGTGTTTGAGCAGAGACTAGGAGAGGACTGAATGCCACAAGTTTCAGGCAAGATCTGAGGCAAACGCGTGCGAAGCAGCAAATTGAAACAAACTGTAGAGCTCAACCCCCTTGGTAGCTAGGCAACCAGAGGGCAAGCATCTGGCTACTGCATACCAAAGCTAGAAGGAATGACCTTGGGGAGATAAGCAATGACCTGACTGGAGTTGCAAAGCTGCAAAGAAAAATTCTCCACTGAGCCCTCCCCCCGTTTCCATGGCAGCCAGCAGCAGGCTGGCTGACACTCTGACTGAATAGAACTGAGCATTTACTGGCCGGATGCCCTGCCTGTCACCTACATGGAGTTCGCAGCAGATATTTTCTCTTTGTGCCCTGAGAGAGAAACATCCGTCCGAGGGGGAGGTGAGCATCTTCACCACTAGGCCACCACCACGCTCCAACATCATCAATGCTGCATCAAACCACCAAGCTCAGAGAGCACCAAGAATGCTACAGACAGATCATTGTGCAAAGAAGATACCTGCATGGTCTTTTTTTCTGGGAGGGGGGAGGGGGCAAGGGAAGGGAAAATGCTACTCAAATTCCCAAAAACTAGAACTGGAGCAACCACATGTTCTAGGTTGAAATGTCACTAAGACATTTGAGTTAATTTTTGTTTATGACATTCATTTCAACCTCCTGAATTTATCCATTAATCTATATTAATCAACTAGACAATCAATTAATCAACTAGACAATCAATTAATTAATCAATGCTAATCAATTAATAAATCAATAAACATCATTAAATATCATTTAATCAATGAGTAATGAAGTAAAGTAGTATGAAAGGGTTTGGTAGTAAATGAATATTACTTCCTCAAGTAGCTTCTGTCTGGCTGTTGGAGTGTCCTTCGATGCTCTGATTGTTCTTTGGTGCCGTCCTTTGATGCTGTGATGAGTGTTCTGTTGTAGTGTCCTTTGATGCTCTACTTTTTCTTGGATGTTGTCTTTTGATGTTCTTTGATGCTTCTTGGGTGAGAAGCGAAACATCTTCAAAGAAAAAACAAAGTCCAGTTGTCTCTTGAAAGAAAGCCCCTTTGGGACACTTGGCTTGTCTGTCTGGGTCATAGGACCTCAACTTTCTTCTTCTCCTTGACCTCTTGTGGATCTCCCATCTAGACTTACGATGTAAATATTTCTCTACTACACAATGCCAGCTACCTGGTTGTGCTGTTCAGTGCCATCTTACCCCCTGCCGCTGCGTGTTGGGCTGCCTTGGAGGCCTCCGGGCGTAGGCTGCCCCTGGGGTGCAGGTGGTGGTGGAGGCCTGCTTCTATGGGTCTGGCGCTCAGTGCCTCTTCGGCTGCTGCCATGGTCAGAGCCTCTGCCCTTTCCAGTTACGGGTAGGATTTCCCCATGTCTGGCCACCTCAGCTATCCGTAGGGGAACATTTGTAGCTCAGGGCTGAAATGAGGGGTCCCCGGTGCTCCCTGAGCTGGGTGTTTTTCTTGCAGACGTTTCATTACCTGATTAAGTGACATCATCAGTCCTGGAAGGGAGTGGGGTTTGCAGGGAGGGAGCTGAGGGGTCCTTGATGCTCTCTGAACTTGGTGGGTTTCTTGCGGATGTTTCATTCCCCAAATTAGCACTGATGATGTTACCTAGTTTGAGTAATGAAACATTTGCAAGAAAACCACCAAGCCCAGAGAGCACCAAGGACTCTCTCAGCTATCTGTGGATGGGCACATCCCATGCAGAGTCTTACCTTTATTATCTTTATTAGCTTATTAAAAGGAGAAATAAAAACCTAACAATAAATAGTCAAGGAGGCTAGAAGACAGAATAAACAAAGAAATGACAGGTGCAATAAAAAAAAGACAAACAAAGAATTCCAGTTCCCTTTATAGCAGATATAGATAAAACTCCACTTTACAATTGGAATGTAAACTCCCATTTGTCTTTATAACTTGTAAATATTACTGGTCATCAACTCAGTATGTCATGGTTTCTGTTTCTTGAAAAAGCTTCAAATGTATCTTCTAATTGGGATTAAATTTGGCTTGTCTCTTTTTTTCTAAGCAGAACTGAAAGTTTTGCTGTCCCAGCCAGCTCCCCCAGCTTTAACAACCACACTTGCATTGTGGGTATTGTCACATTCTTCCAATAATGAGCGTATAGAAGTCTGGTTGCCTTGCAATTTCCCCAAAGTTTTGCCCATCAATCACAACAAAAAATAGGTTTATGAAAAAATGGGCAGATGGGAATAAAGTCATTTTATGCCAGGAAGGAAAGAAGGAAGGAAGAAAGGAAGGGATGGTGGGAAGGAAAGAAAGAAGGAAGGAAAGCAAGCAAGCAAGAAAGAAAAAGAGAGAGGGAGGGAGGGAGCAAGGAAACGAAGGAAGGAAGGAAGGAAGGAAGGAAGGAAGGAAGGAAGGAAGGAAGGAAGGAAGGAAGGAAGGAAGGAAGATTTTTGCTTCCAAAGACCAACTCTTAAAAAACCTACATGGTCAAAATGTCAAAAAGCCAACTTAAACTGCAGTGTTAAAAATCCCTACAACTTTGTACGTTCACGTTGATCTCAGAATAGAAACACACCTTGGGGGCAGGTGAAGAAGTTGGTCGGGAGAGTGCCTCAGTTTATCCCTCCTTTTCACGCCCAAAGAAGAGAACGATTAAGTTGATGGCATCTCCCCGGCGTGGAAGAACTCAAGAAGCCCAGGAGACCGGAGGGCTGTGATTGTGACAAGAAAGTTAACAACTCCCTTTGCACCTTGTTTAATCCTTCCAGAAAAACAACCTGGTTGACAAAGCCATCTCCCCAGATGCTAATTCCACCCCATCAACAGCCTCCCCAATGGGACCCTTTCAAGGTTCAAGTAAAGCCTCAGACGAAGGAGCAGAGTTGGAAAACTTCCTGATCCAACTTTGCCAGTTAAGTGTTCTTGACACTAACCAGCTAATTAGTAAGAAGCCTTCCCTGAAGATGACGCCAGTTCAATTCAGCTGCGAGGACTAAGATCTCCTTGTTTAGCAATGTAAGGACTTAAGGGAACCCAACAGCAAAGAGCAGGGATGAACAACGATGGCCCTTTAATGACCTGTGGACTTCAATTCCCAGCATTCCTCCTAAGCCATTCAATTCCAGCATGGCTCGGGAATTCTGGGAGTTGAAGTCCACAGGTTGTAAAGAGGCCACCCCCGGTGAAGAGATTGGAGTAGTAGGTAAAACATGGAAGGCAGTTGTACCCTGGAAGTCACTCCCCTTTGTAGGAAGATAGCACCCACCCTCTCCTAGGAAAATGAGATATTTTAGGAAATATTAAAAGGGCAGAATATTTCCCATAAAAGGGAGGCAGAAACTCAGCCCCCTCCCCCACACTTTTGTCGATGGGCCATGAAGGCCTGGGCCAGTCTATTCTACATAACAAAGGTCTACCTCCTTCAGGCAGAGCCATAGTAGGAATTGCCCAAAGCCCCTTCATTGCATCATCACCCAGCAAGGCTCAACCAAGCTTGGGACTCAAAAAGACAACCGACAAAGTTACCCCTGCATGGCCCCGTGGAAGTCTGACAACCAATCAGAATACGAGTTCAAATTCAAAAACCCAGAGAGGGCATAAAACCCAGGCACTCTCAGCATCTCTTCCCTTTTTTCCCCTCTTCACCCAAGATTTTCAAGGCATGTGATCCTGTCCACCATTAAAACCATCTTTCCAAGTAGCCACCGTGTTTCCAGTGTCTTTTTCCCCACTTGGAACTGAACCCAGAAGGACATTTCTTCCAACACCCGTAGTTAACAGCCACCACGTTTTTGAAGGACTTAGCTTTGTCTTCCACACAGAGGTCATATCTCCAGCATCAGGGGTATGTCAGGGGTGTGTGGGAGGGCGAGTTATTTATTTAAGAGTATGGCTGCTCATCACAAAACACAACTTTGAGTAACTCACAACAACAATGAAAAACAGAGTAAAACCCAAAACCTGGTTCCTTAACCAACAATCTTCAGGCCATGATGACATACAAGCCATTTTATATATTAGGCTGTTGGTTTGAGCTCCGAGCTTGGCCATTTGGCTGCAAACGTTTCATCACCA